GGGTTGTGCCCGAAAGTGTGGCGAGGACAGACCAATTTCTATCCTCCCCGAGACAGTCCTGCGTGCACCAGCACCCGACTATTCTTTTTCCATCCGTTCGGTGTCGGTGTGGTCAGTCTCACACGCACACACATACACCAAGCCACCCCCCCCCCCCCTCCTCTCGGTGCGTGTTTCTTATTTACTTGTGGCGACAGTGTAGATTCCAGAGCTCCCCGGTTTTCCAAGACGACCGCGGGTCCACGCTTGGAGACCGGATGTCGGGCATGATGAACACTCGTCGCAGCGAGACAGAGGACGGGACGGCCGTCTGATGTTGATGTGTCAGTCATGCCCATGCCGCTCATCTCTCCCTTCCTGTCATTGATCAACATGATGAGGCGAAGCGAGGAGACGAAGGAAAAGCTTGGTAAAAAATTATCACTCACTTTCTCAGCTCGCCAGCTGCTCATGCCTTAGGTCATCGGATGAAAAAGTATGTGTCTGATTGATCGATTCGTCCGTCATCAGGTTGGTTGGCACTCGAACTTGAGACGGAGGAAATGAGAGACGATTAGTCGCGACCGAGAGAACATTGTCGACCTCCACCGGCCTGTATCGCACGTCAGATAGACAGAGACACCACCTAATAACAGTCGCGAAACAACCTCGATTAAGTATATGAGAAAAAAAAAAGAAGAAGACGAGCCGCCTCTCATGTTGCATCCCACATTGCAGTCGGAAAACATCATGACCATTCATCCGTCCATTCTTCCAATTCCTGTACAGCCGCAGCCGCACAGTGACCTCCCTTTGCCCCGTGGGCCCTTTACCTGCCTCGCCCACTTCTCTCCTTCTACCTCTCCTCTCGAACTCTTTGCGGTGGAAAGCGGAAAATCAAGAAAACAGGGGGGAATCATAAAAACGAGACGACGAATGACCAAGCCGTAGCATAATTATGCGCGAGAGTGTGTGTGTGTGAATGTGTTGTGTCGTGTTTTTGTGTTCGCACAAGCCAAGACGTAGATGAGGCGTGGCCTTTCCTCACTCCGGAGACAAAACTTCACAACCAATCTAATCCTTCGAGTGCACCTTGCTCTTGAGCTTGCCGATGAAGGCGCTGAGGCGGTTCTTCTTCTTCTGCTCAGTGCCCTTCTGGCTGCTGGTGCTGGGCGTCGTAGTCGAGCCAGATGCCTCAGCCTTGGCGGGCGTGGCGGGAGACTCCTGTGTCGTCTGCTTCACGGGCTCGGCCGGCGCAGCGGCATTGGCGCCGTTGGGAAGAATCTCGCCCTCCTTCGTCGGGACAGGCTTGGTCTCCTCGGCCTTGTCCTCCACAGCGGCCGTCTCAGTCTTGGCCTCGGTAGCGGGCGCAACAGACTCAGGTTCGGACTTGACGGCAGTCGACGTGGTAGACGGACCATCGGTCACGACGGGGGTCGCGGCGGTGTGCAGAGCGGGGTTGCTGGCGGCGGGGACATCGTCAACCTTGGGAGCAGATGGGGTGATGGCGGCCGGTGCGGCAACGGCAGCAGCAGCGTCTTGCTTGACCTCCTCGGTGACCAGAACAGGGGCGGCACCGACGGCAGAATCAGTCTTGACCTCCTCCGTCTTCGACTTGGCCTCGCCGATGGCGGGAACGGCCTTGACCTCCTGCAGCAGCTCGGACTCGACGGCAGCCTTGTCCTGAACGGCAGAGGTGCTGGCGGCAGCCTCGGGGGCCTTGCCGGCCTCGATGATGGACTCCTTGACCTCGCTGGGGACAGTGGGGGCGACCTCCTGGCGGACATCCTCCTGGGCCTGGCTCTTGATCGTCTCCTGCACCGACTCGGGAAGCTTCTCCTTGACACCCTCGGGGAGGTTGGCGGCAGCACCGGCGGCGGCGGCGGAGGCCTGGTTGGCGGCGTCGGTGGCCGTCTCAGAGGCCGAAGTGGTGGCGGGCTCGGCCTTGCCAATGATGGCGTCCTTCGCAGCAACGGCAGCGGCGAGCGCGATGCCGCCAGCAGTGATGGCAGTAGCGGCGATGCCGGCGTTCTCAGACTTCTGGGTGCCGAAGCCGGCGGTGCCCTCAGACGTTGAGGGGGCCTCGGGGACCTTCTCCTTCAGCTCATCCTCGACAGTAGCCTTGTCGATGACCTCCTTGGGGTCAGCGCTGGCCTCGGGGTCAACACCGGCGGCCTTCTGGCTCTCAACGACAGCCTCGGGAACCTTGGCGTCGAGCGCAGCGGCGTTGACAGTCTTGGGCACGTTGGCAGCGAGAGCGGCGGTGCTGGCCTCGGGAGTCACCGTGTTGATGGTGGTCGTGTCAATGCCGGCAGCAATGGCAGCAGCGGGCATGGGCAGGCTGGACTCGGGAATGTCGGCGCCGGTGGTGCTGGGCAGGGTAGAGTTTGCCTCGGTCAAGCCGGGCAGGCGGTCGCTCTTCTCGTACGACTCCTTGTCGAGAGTGACCTGGGAGTGAATATCACCAGCGTGGGTGGAAGGGGGGAGAGGCTCGCCGGGCGCAATGTTGGGCTGGGGCTTGGTCACATCGCTCGCAGGCAGAGGGTTGACGCTGATGGTCTTGTCGAGCTCGTCGACGGGCGTCTGGGGGAAGCCGCCAATGGCATGGACGGGGGTGGCCTTGGGTTCCTCCTCGCTCGCCTTGGAGTTCTCGAGAGGCACATCCTTGGCCAGGGCGGCCGTGGTAGACTCGGGAGTGGTGGTGTTCATGATGGCGGCGATGGGGTTCTCCTTCACAATCTGCTCGGGCGTCAGGAAGTTGTTTACGTTTCCCTCGTGATCAGGCTCTTGCGGGGCCGTGTGGTCGGTGATCCAGTTGTTGTCGACGACGAACTGGGAAAAATCAGGTCAGCAAGGGGGGGATGTTCTGAATGTGTTGTTATGAGATCAAAGGCAGAACAGCCGAATAAGTGAGGTCAGAATGAAGCAAAGTCCTAGAAAGACGACGAGTAGGGATGACGCGGCGCGGAATGGCTGGGTTAAATGCAGAGGTCTCGTGTTGACGGCGTGGTGTCTGCAGGGGCCTTGCGTCGCTCCACAGAATTGGCGAATCTGGATAATCTTGGTTTGCGGTCGCCTGCTGGTTGCCTTGGGATCTGTCTGTCTTCGTGGAGCTTCTCACCGCTTCGACACTAGCCGCAATCTCCCAGGGTTGGAGCCGATTGAGGGGTTGCGTCATAAGCGGACCGGGATGTTCGGTCAGACGCATCAGACGCAAGCAGTCAGGCGGGCCAAGCTGCCCCTGGCCCTGGCGTTTCTAGTTTCTAGCCCTGCGTGCCTGGATGCCTGCCTGCCAGTCGTTGGACGAGGGAGAGACGGCTGACCTAGCAGTCTGGGGAAAAACGGAGCAGTTTGCGTCCCGTGACGAGAGGGATGGAAAGACAGCGCATCGCCGAGGCCCGCTTGTCGCTCTGTTTTGCATCGGCGCCTGGAAGCTAGCGAGCGCAGCGGCGCAGGGCCCAAGTTGCAGTCGGCGTTGGAGGCCGAACCAAGCCAAACCAAACCAAGCGACAGGTGAAGGGGGTTGGACGGCGCTGATGCACACAGGTGGCCTGGGGCTGGTGAGACCCGATTGTGCTTCCGCATGCGGGTTTTCCTCTCGCGCCGCACAGGGCCTTTGATCGCAGCCCGGCGCTTCGGTGCCTCGATCGTCTTTTTCGATGGCGCGCAGGAAACGAGCCTTGGGGCGACCAACAGAAGAATGGAAAATGGAGAGCGAGCGTGAGGTAAGGAGAAGAGGGGACATGACAAGATGCAACGCGCGCAAGGAACAGCGGTGCGACAGAGAGGAGACGCAAGTCAACGTACCTTGTAGTAGATCTTCTTGGAAGCGTCGGGGAGAGTAACGTTCTTCTCGAAGGAGTCGCCGACCTTGCTGAGCCTCTCCGACTTGGTCCAGTTGTCGAAGGTGCCGGTGACATAGACCTCTTCGGCGGGATGGCCCCTACAAGTACGAAAAAGAGCGTGGTCAGCCAGGTGTGTCGATCGAGCCCAGATTTGCGCCAGGTTCCAGCTCGAGCTGTCGGCTCGTGCTCAGACGGCGGCAGGCAGTGGCTCGGGTGTGAGGGCGCGAGAGCCAATGCGCCGTTGGGTTTGAGGCCGGCGAACGAAGGTTTGCGTCGTGCATGTGGCATGAGCAAAATGGCATTCCAGCGCTGGGCGAGTTGCGCGCATGCGCACAAGCCCGTCGAGCTTCGTGCCAGGCGCGAAGCTTCCCCCGGAGCACGCACGAGCAGCTCCAATTGTCCGTTCGCCTTGCCAATGGAGTAGGCCTTGCCAATGGAGTAGGCCTTGCCAATGGAGTAGGAGGAAGAGAGGGGTGGAGGAGGGTGGGAGGGAGGGGGAGGGGCGCAAAGGGTGAAACATACCACGTGAATTTGAAGGTACCACCAGTCATTTTGATCTCTGTGCAGACTCGGTCTCTGTGCGAAGGATTCGAAATGGAATTGGTGATGCTTCTGCTTCGTACGTGCGCGTGCGTTGAGTTCTGCGGCGGTCGCAAGTTGGGAAAAAAAAGGGACGGAAAAAAGGTCCGAGAGAAATCGATGGAAGGGGTCGCGGTCGTTGAGCGCTGAGTGAGCTGAGCTGAGCTGGGTAGGAATCGATGTCGTAAGGCCCGCAAGGCAAATTAGCTACACTACCCACACTAGGTTGGGTGGCGATCAGCTCGTTGGTCGCAAATGGCAGCTGGGCCTGTCGGCAGCGGTAGCGTGCCCCGGAGCCAGGTCTGGTGCCTACCTAGGATGGCTACTGAAAGGAATGCGCGAGGGTCTCGTTCGATAGAGTAAGGTGCCGTACGTAAGGACGTAGTAGGTAAGGGCAGCAGGGTAGGATTGGTGTCTCGTGGTGAAACGACAAACAAAGGCGTCGTCGTCGGTCGAAAGAGTCAAAGATATGGATAGAGGTGGTAGAGGTGGTGGTAGTAGGTAGGTAGGTAGGATGGAAGGTCCGGAATGCACGAACACGAGGGGTTCGGGGGTCTGGATCTACCTATGTAGTGAGATGGTGCTAAGGGGGTACTTTGATCAGAGGGGAGTCGGTGCGGTTCCAGGTTGGTGCGGGCTGGTTTGAGTCCGGTTTGGGTCAGTGTCGTCGCGGTAGACGAGATGAGAGACGAGAGACGAGAGATTGGAGGTGGTGAGCGCGACGAGGGAAGTGGTGAGCGCGACGAGGGAAGCCAATGGGTCCGCTCCGTTTCCAGGCCGGACAAAGCACGGCAAGGCCAGTCGAGACGAGTCGACGACCAGGTCGCCTTCCTCCTTCTCAGCAAAAAATCAGAAGGCTGGGGGTTGGGTTGCGACTTGCGCCTGCCTATCGGTGGGCGCTTGCCTCGAACAGCAGAGCAGCGATATGGGACACACAGGTGGCTGCTGCTACCTTGGCTACCTAGGTAGCCACCTAGCTAGGTACCGCAGCAAGTGTAGGCGCCTACCTTAGGTACCTAGGTAGTGTAGACACCGTACAGCCCTGGGGGCGTGGGGTGGCCTGGTGCCGTTCGGCAGGCCGTGGACATGGACCGACTCTGGCGCTAAAGCCCCAGCAAAACTTCAAGCTAGACAGGTACCACCTACCTTGGGTACCGTGCCGTGCCGTACCTACCTACTTGGACACGCACAGCCAAGGTAGGTACCTAGGTAGGTAGCTAGACCTAGAGAAGCTCACCCTCGGCGTCGTCACCGCCCGCCGCGCAACTTCCTTTCTCACCTCATGCATGACGTACATCGGTCTGGCCAGCCAAGACGCATGTGCATCATGCAAGAGACCAAGCACGCCATGCACCTATCCGGCCCAGCCCTCTCTACCCGCCACGACCATGTTCCTATCAGTGTTATGCACCTCACCAGCCTCGCTCTATTCTGTGTTTCCACGAAAGGGGGAAACCCATTGATTGCCCTCGCGGATCGTAAACTGATAAGAGCTTCTTCTGGCCGTTGGAGTTGAAGAAGCAGACCCACAAGGTTTTGGTGTACGAGAAGCAGATTACTTTATGTAGCCCGTCCGTCTACTCATCATGTACCTATGCCGCAACACTTTCCCAGTATCTTCGTGCCCGCCCTAATTCATCCCATCCATGCATGCTAGCCGCCCCTCAATGCACCGTACAAATACATCCATCACCAGACCCCTCGCTCGCTCCGTTTTCGAATTCTTTGCCATCCCGTCTTGTGCTGCATCCGCTTTCTCGTAATCACGCCCATTGAACGCCTTCTTCCAACTTTCTCAGCACCCGAACCGCATCCACGAACAACCGACTGCGGTTCCCAATGCAGTCGGCCTCCAGCCACGACCTCGCCAGTTCGACCACCTTCGTCGAGTCCTGCAGATTGCGAATCTTCATAACGTCGTCCTCGCCCATGCGGGCAACGGCCCTCACCCAGGCCAGCGTCGCTGCCTCACCGGCCCCTTCGCGCACCATTGTCGCGCCTTCCAGCTCGTCGGCCGAGGCCCCGTGGCCAAAGGCCCAGCAGATGAGGGCGCAGACGTACATGCCCCAGTAGTCTGATACGTCGTCCCGCCACGCCCGCGGCCTTTGCGTGTCCCAGATATCCATGTTGTCTGCATCCTCGTCGTCTTCGTCCGCGTCCCACCGGTTGCCTTGCGCCGTAAAGGCCTCCATCGCTCGACAGGCGAAGATGACTGATGTTGCCGCCTCGCTCGAAGAGCTCCACTGCCGGAGCCTCTTCTTGTGCTCCGCGAACGAAGACGCCTCCATCAGCTTTTGACTGAACACCCAGCTCTCGCCGGAAACCGCCAGGAGGTCATGTAGCGGCGCGTGATGGAGCGCAAGGTACGTGTTGGCGACCGGGCAGTCCGGGAACAGCCCCGCCATGCGGCTCGGATCGCTCGGTGCTGCCGAACCCTGAGACTGGAGGCGGATGGCCTCGGACGCCAGGATGATGGACCTGTCGAACAGCGAGTGTGTCTGAATCGTGCAATCGGTCAGAGAGCCCGGGTTGATCATTGGGAGCGTCGTTAGTATGCTCATGATGTTTTCCTTGTTCGCCACCATGGCCGACCAGGCATCCGCGCTCATAGCCTCCCAAAGCTCGTTCGTCTGGCCCGTAAGGGGGATGGACGGAATCCCCTCGGCAGCAATGTCAAATTCTCTCACACGCCGTTGCTCCTGGTACACCGATGTGTGTACGTCGAGCACGAAACACGCGCCGAGCAGACGACGACGCGCTTCCATGTCGAGCCACGTGTGCCACCTGACGTTGCTAGGGCCACTCATTGGCACAGGAGCGAAAATGACCGACGGATCATACACCTGCGAATGCTCGTTAGGTCCCGTATGGCTGACGGTTGGCAGACGAACAGGAGCAGCTTACTCTTTGATACACATCTTCGAACTCCTTGGACGGGCGAATAGCAGCCTTGCGGCCGCGGAAACGAGCGAACAGCTCGCAGAGGAGGATAGCTTGCATCACCGATACGCTCCAATGAAGGGACTGCACCGCGTTAGTCAGGTTTTATGCTTGCGTATAGTCCATCAGCGAGGCCCGGCTTACCCTTCTGGCTTGCTGCCACGCATACTCGTGCAATTGATTGCCCCTGATTCGATCCTCCTTGCTGGTGAGATACTGCGTGGCCACGGCAGCCATGGCGCATCGCAGCAGGTCGCATTGCTCTAATGCCTCCTCAAATGTGCGTCTGTGAACGATAGGGAACAGGTGGTGGAACTTGTCCCAATACACCTCGATGTAGTACGGAATCGCCCTGTACGCACTTGCAGGCGGAGGCGATAGAGAGCTCGGCGACAGGATGGGCGCAGCCATGAGGCCGACAGCCACCTCCTTCTGGCGTCCCACGCATGCGAGCGAGTTCATCATGCGATCCGAGAGGAGGGCCGTCGATGGCGAGACTAGAATTTCAGAACTTTGAGCCTGGGCCAGAGCTCGCACTGGGACTGGATTACCAACACTGTTGGGGAAAAGATGCTGCTGATGGGGGTCCAACAACGTCTGATCATCCGGGTAGTTGGTCAAAGGCGCATCGAGCGACGGCACAAAGACTGGCCCAGACCCGAGCTGGGGCGAAGGTGAGAAAGGAAAGTAGATGGGTCCGCTCGCAGGCAAAGCGTCGAAACCGGGTGGAGGGCTTGAATGTTCATGTGAGAGATACGGAGAGAGAAGGTTGGTGCCCTGCCAGTCCACACTGGATGAGCGCTGGGCATCAGTCCATGGACCGCGACGAGACCTCTCAGAAGGTGTGGAGAAGGGACTGTCACTGGCAGAGGAGGGCCAGTTAGATGTGTCGTGGGGATGCGAAAGCTCTGGGGGCGCGTCCATTGCTGGTGTCTGCTGACTCGGGAGGCCCTGGGTCTGAAGGTATAGCTCGGAGTAGGTTGTGTTCGTGCGGGGCTGGCTGTAGTCGATGGAGGAGAAGGTGGGTACAATCATGGAGGCTGGTGTGTTGAAGCCACTTGCCGTTCCGTCTTGAAGCAGCGGCAGCTGCTGGGGCGAATGCGATGACAACTGATAGTCATTGTTGTATCCATGACCGCCAGATGCGGAGGGGTAGTTCTCACTGCCACCACCCATTCCCGGAGACATAGACTTGCTGGCGCTGCCGGGACTCCCGAGGAACGCTGAAATGTTAGGGGCCATGTTTGGTGTCATGGATAAGTTTGGTGTTGTCGAAGGGGTGCTGTAGCTCATGACGGAGGGGTGCAGCCCGAGACGAGCACTTCCATCCAGGGAGCCTGCAGACGTTCTGCGGCTTCTCGGCGACTTCTCTTCGTCCAGTTCGCTGTATAGAGTCAGCGCACCGACGACATGTGATTTTTTGCCTTCACGGGCAAGGATCGAACTCACTGCCGCTGTTGGTGTCGGTCCAAGAGATCCTTGCGGTGGAAAGCTCTATCACAACCCGGAATAGTGCAAGCATATCTTGGCGTATCGTGGCTTAGCTGATGCCGTCTGGAATCGCGGTCAATACGTTGAATCTGCAAGACAGATATGAAGGAGCAAGCTCACCTCAGATGCTCCGCTCTTGTGAACGTCTGGAAGAGAAGTCAGTCGTGGGTTTCATTCATAGTGACGGCCTGCGAGACGTGTCGACTCACCTTGGGGGGACGACACTGATCACATGTATGAACAGGTACGCCCTTCTTTGCTCGACTGACTCGACCGGTGATGGGCGTCAGTTTCACTGACGCTTCCGCGCCTGCCAACATATTTGCGAGTGGCCGCATTGGTGTATTCGAGGGGTTAAGACTTCCAGATGACCCAGAGTGACCGTGACCATACAACGACGGATCCATAGAGTCGACGCTCGTGTTGCTTGGGCGACGATCTGCTGCTGGCTGACTTGTGTTGGACGGTGATCCGGTGGATGAAGTTGAATGTGTGATGGCTGGAGGGCCGTCGAGGGTATGAGTGTGTTGGGCTGGCGGTATATACTTAAGGCTGGCAGTGACTGAGTCTGGTGGTACCGCAGATGGCTGCTGATGAACATTGGATGAGGCTGGGACCGTGCCCTTCTTATTGGTCTGGGGATGGAACTGATGGTCCTCATCTACGTTCATGATGTCCTGCAGGCTCGCCATGGTGGGTATGTATGTATGTGTGTGTGTGTGTGTGTGTGTTCTGAAAATGGAAAGCAAGGAAAAATAGAAAGACGGCCTAGTAGCAGACAGGGAGTAAAGGCATAGAGGTAGTAACGGAGCCGAAGATAGCAGTGACACAGCCCCGGCAGACAAGAGAATATGCGGATGTAGACTGCGATGAACCCCCCGTAGACGCAGACATGAGGTGACGAGCAAAGTTTGGGGTTGGTGAGAGGGGCGTAGACGTAGAATGGAATCAGGGGGGATGATGAGGGGGGAGGTGCAAAAGAAGGCAGATAGGCAGACGGGGGTGGGAGGGACAAGCGCGTGTGGTTCTTGGGTTCGTCACAGCCGGTTCCAACACTGATGGACGTTGGGGTTGGTGTGAGTGGGAAGATGGTTCTCAAGATGCCCCATCTGCAATGGAACAGAGGTCACTCACTCGGGCTACCAAGATGGCCAGGTGGGATGGGGGCGCTGCTACATCGAGATGGTTGGAAGGGAGGGGGAGAAGACGGAAGAAGTCGAGACGGCCGACGACATAGGGGTCTTGGGACATGTTGTAAGGCGGTCCCGTCATGCTTTTGCCCCTGTCAGCTGTAGACATGGGTGGCGGCAACCCTTGGTTCGAAAACGCCAGGTACGTGCTCCTTCGACCACTTGGATGGGCCAGCCACGGGGCTCTCCCGTATTCTGATCAGCGTCAGGGCCATGATTGGTAGGCAGATACGCATCAGGCTCGGTTGTACAAGTCAGCCTTCTGAGGCGAGGGACGAAATAGGACGGAACCAGCGAGGGAGACGTTGCGACTCTGACATGATTCTTCGTGGAGGGGGTCTGCTGGGCAGGGACGGGAATGCAGAGCTGGTGTCGGTCTGGCGAGAGAGAGAGAGAGAGCAAGAGATAGAGTGCGCGCGAGCTCAATGGTGAACCAGCAGACACACACGCTGAGATTTGTTCGTGCTCATGGTTGCCATGGTCATTCGACGGGCAATAGTGACTAGGGCGGATCGAACCGAGCCGGTGCCATAATTAGCCCAGGCGCGCCAGTGGACGAGAGAGAAGGGTGGAAATGTGCTGTGGAAATGGGCGAGTGTGTGCGTGTGTGCGTGTATGGTGTGTCAGACGAGGAGAGGCGCAGCCCAAAGCTCCGTAAATGTGCCATTTCAGGATAACGTGCATGCAGCCCCAAGCCCAGCCGCAGGCCCCTGTAGCTTTTTCTTCCTCTTACTTGTTCTGTTCCCCTTCTGCTTTGCTCGAATCGATGTCGCTCGATCGCCGCCATAAGGACGCAGGCAACGGGAACAACGGGAGCGGCTCACGTGTGAACAACAGTATCGTAGACAACACTCAATGGCTTGTACATGTCTGTCCTATACATGTTCGGAGAGTCGATCGTCCAACGGGCTGCCTGGACACTCCAGACCAGAATCTGTCGAGTCAAGATAAGTCCAGGGATTGCGCTCCTTCTAGGTCTCCATTCCATGTTCTCTGTCTAACCTGTCAACGGTCAACCTTTGCGCGCCGGTCGCCAGGCGACACACGACTCGTGGAGGGAGGAGTCCTTCCGCGTGCGCGCTGGGATTAACCGCGGGAGGCGCATAGCGCGGGAGAAACAGAAACAGACGCCCGCGAGCTTGATCATCCCTGAGGAGGGGGGGGCATTTCGTTGGGTTGGTGGCAATGAGTCGCAAGGGAAACGAAACAAGACGAAACGAAAGAATACTGAACCCCCTGGTCCGTAATCTGCAGTCTGGGAGTCTGTAAGGCGTTCGCGCATGTTGATTTCGGTTCATGAACCGCAGTGGACAGACCACGGGCGGAGGGGGCCGAGGGGAGGGCGGGGGGCCAAAGAGATGGGGGCTCCAATGGGGCCGAGAGACAGACAGAGGACGGCCTGCCTGGAAGACTCCCTGCGTGGGCAGCAGCCTGGCGAGAGACGACAGGGGGCAGCCTTGCAAGCTCAGGTGCGCCGCGCGCAGGTACGCCGCGCTCCATTGGGCGGGCGATCCTTTTTGGGGTGGTCTGCTGTGAGGTACCAAGATACCTACTTGCAGGGCGCCCAGAGGTGGGAGGGGAGGACTCTGTCGCCTATTTTTACTCTGCATCATTCTGGCCGAGGTACCTTCTTCAGTTGTGTGGCCCTCTGCGAATGCTGTCGCGCTGCGGGTGCTGCGTTGTGCTGTGCTCAATGTCTGTCGATTGTACACTTGCAGTGCACTGCAGGCACAAGGTTCGGTTAGCTCGCTCAATCGATGCACGACGGGTACATGGTATATTCTCTCGTCGAGGGATGGCCACCACCACTGTCCTTTATGATGGGACGCAGGCAGCAGCAGGAAGACAAATGGCACGACGGAGTATCCAGGGCAGAACGATATCAGATCCAGTCCATCGAGACAGAGATCCGACGCAGCATCAATCTTGGGGTCCAAATAGAAGGTGTGGCGTTCTGAGAAAGCAAGGTGAAGTGCACGCGACACCCGACGGCCCAGATGAACCAGTGTCAGCCACCAGGAACCGCGGCCACCAGGAACCGTGGCCACCAGGAACCGTGGCCACCAGGAACCGTGACGCCTCGCGTGCCTGACAGCACCTGGGGGCGATATGCCGGGAGAAGGATTCCTGAGGCTGGGTCCGAGTTGAGATGCAGGTCCAGGTCCATGTCGAAGGGCTACCGGTCTCCAGTCCGCATCAAGGCCGACATGGTCTGCCGATGAACGTGTGGTCCGACTACCCGCTGAGAAATGGCCATGGGCGTGGGCGTGGGCGTGGGCGAGGGCGTGGGCGTGTGGGAGGATGGAAACCCGGTCAGCACTCCGCCACGCGATGCAAAAAGTAGAACAAGAATATGGCCGTCATGTTGCGCATACGACCTTGGAGAAGAAGGGAGTCAGCAATGGTCAGTCAACTGACACCGATGATGGCGGCGAAGGTGAGGTCGGTGATGGAGAGCAGCAGGCAAAGAACGGAGGTGCCTGCCAGTTGAGGAGAGGGCAGTTGCCCATCACTGGCACAGCCAGCTCTTGCATACTCCTACTGTTCTTGCCCTTGCACTTCGACCTGCACTTGGCGGCGCTTAGCGGTGTTGCTATTTTTGGCACCAGGTGGCCTTTCCATTTTGGTCATGTATGGTATCACGTGACTGTTCTGGAGCGGAGCTTCAGAAGGTGCCATCTCGAGGCACCTTCCCAGAACCCGCCGAGAGACATGGCGTCCATGGAAGCTACAGGTAGAAATCCACTGCACGTGAGCCTGGAGTCCCCGCTGGGCTGGGGCTCCCGGTGAGCATCAACTCCAAGCCAACGACATGCCGAGCCATCCTGTGAGCGTCAACAGTACCGCATGCCATTCATCAAACGCGCAATATCTCGGTCGAGATTCCATCATCTGTCACAGCAGGGTCACCATTCTTTCTTCTTGAACAAATGCGTTCCATTCGCCACCACCGTGGACTGTCACCGTCTCCACTTCGCCCTGATTCTCGAAGCTATGCCTGTGAAATAGATCCCCTTCAACCTGTCCCTCAAGTGATGGTTGAAGCCGTAGGTGAGCGCGTTCGCCAAGCCCACAAACTGCGTCGACACCTGCAACGCCGCCATCGTCCTCGGCCCCGGCGCGTTCCCCGACGCCTGCAGCAGCCGGTTCACGAGACCGGGGATCCAGAGCAGCACATACATGATCGGGTACGCGTTGAGGAACATCATCTTCTTGATCTCCCGTTCCACCTGGTGCGAGTCTTGCCTGATGGGGAACTCGCTCAGCGTGCTGCGCATCGTCCTGTTCGCCGGCACGTTCGGGGCCCTGCGAACGCTGCCGCTGGCACTGGCGCTCGGTCTGGGGATCGAGACGTGGTTGTCGCCGGGGTACGACGACTTGGGCGTGATTCTCTCGAGGTCTTCCTGGAATGATTTTTGCTGTCGGAGCGTTTTGCCGGGTGTGCCGTGAATCATCTCGTCCAGCGTCGTGGCGTCGTCATCGTCGTCGTCGTCGTCGAAGTCTATCATACCACCCTTGGCCTCAACGGCGGCGGCGTCCATCTTCACCTCGTGCACGCCGATGCTCAGCCCCACGGGTTTCGTCGTTGTTCCGGCACCAGCGGCTTCAACGCGCATCAGGTTGTCCAGTTTCATATCGTCATCGCTGCGCGTGGTCGCGTCAGAGACGCCGGTTCCCCTCCTCGCGCGGCCCGACGAGAAGCTCCCGTCGCCAGACGACGTCGTCCCGTACGACCAGCGCTGCGCCCCGCGCAGGAACCGGAAGTGACGCCGTAGAAATACCCATATGTACACGTAGATGGCCATGGTCGAGAAGATGACGGCAAACCGCCACCCGTGCGTCAGCGCGTACCGCAGGTCCGGCCTCGCCGCCGAGATCCAGCACCAGTTGCCTCCGACGGGGGCCATCTGGCCCATGGCCGTCGCCGTGACGCTCGTCGCCACGGGAACCACCCAGACGGCGCCGCAGATGGTGGCCTTGCGCGCGAGCGACGCCTTGGGCATGTACACTGTCCCCGTGACGGTGAGGAGCGTGACGAGGGCGATGGCGAGGATGGAAAAGTCGGCGGCCTGCACCGAGAGCTGGCCCACAAAGCCGTTGACGGTGCAGGCTGCGCCGGGCTGGAGGCCCCTCGTGCGCATGTATATAAAGCCCGAAACCGTATTGTTGAGCGAGTTGATGAACTCTGTACGCCGCAGTCAGTGAGTGACGTGAGGAGAGAGAACGGGCTACCGCCGTGGGCGCCCAGAGCTGGCAAGAATGGTGACACGTACCCGCTACCGAAAGGTTCAAGACGAGAGCATGGCGAAAACTGCGCATCTGGTGACGGTAGATGGCAAACGAAGTCAGCACGCATGTCGTCGCGACGCAAGAGAGGAGGCTGCCCGCCAGCGTGGCGGACGCGATCACTTTGTCAAAGTTGGCGGCCATCGTGACATGACAGCAAAGGTCGCTACCACCGATACGGTGCCCGATTCCATGGTCCTGGGAGGCGCGCACAGCCGCTGAGGGACAGTCACGCAGTTATAGTGGCCGAGACTCTGGATCGTGGGTCTCTATTTTCTCGCGGGGTGCAAGGGCTGGCCGGCGCTCCGCAAAGCACGATGTTCGAGTGACAGGGACCTTGCGGGTTTGATGCCCTCGATCAATCTAACGCTCTGCTACCCGGTCCGGCGTTGAAGGGTTTTTGTGACCATGAAGCATGGGTATTGAACAGGCGAGGGTTTCAACTTGACTCGCGGCAGCTCGAACGAACCCGGCAGATGGGCAGTGCTGTAGGCATCGCAACAGTGCAACCTGTTTTGGGCTGGCCAAGCCCGTTGAGGACCCATCGCCGGGATCGATCAGGAAAGCGCATTGACTTGAGACTGACTTGCTGAATGTCTCACGGCTGCGATTGGTGTCACGATCCAGGTTGACAGAAAGGTATATCCGGAGATGTCTTCTGGGGACTGACTCGCTAAGATGGGGGTGTCATGCGTCCCCGTACTCCGTCCGTCATCTTGTTCGTCCTGTCTGGGCGCGCCGGTAGCCCTACGCTTGGCCCATTTGGTGATCCGAATTGACGGTTGTCCCGTGGCAATGTGGGTGAGTTGTCGTGTTGCGGTCAAAGTTGTTGACAGGCTAACCCTGTCTCCAATCCAGGGGTAAACGTACGCTGCAGCGTCGCCGCCCACGCTGTGCGATCTCAATCCCGCCCTTGCATGTGAGGGTGCGGAGAGGGTGCGATTGAGTACGAAGTTAGTTCATACCTTGATGACATGGAGAATGCGAGACGTCAGGAATACCGTACGGAGACGCCGCCTTGCCAAGTGGAAGATGAAGGAGTTCAGTGCAACACACAATAAGAGCACGGTAGATCGGCATAATGCGATGCTAATTATACCCATGTAGCAAGGGAAATCTGATGCAGTGCAACGCTGGCTTCTCCAATTGGTAACCTCATGACTGCTGGGGCACGTCTTCTACAATCCCAGGGCCGTGGTATGCCCAGCTGCTCAAACAGTACTACAGGCAATCTCTCGACTTTCCTGTCTTGGTTACTTCAGCCCACCTGTAGCGTGCTTGGCAAGGCTTTCAACGAGCAACTGACGAAACTCTGCCAAAGTGTCTGGCGCATCTGGGCGTGGAGCGAAGTCGGGCCGTGATGGCTTGGCATTCACAAGAGCGCAAGGGTAAGGGTAGCAATCGGCCTCTCTGTATTCTTGCTCCTGGTTGTCCTCAAACATGCCCCAAGATGCGTCAAACTGGCGACTCATACCAAGCTTGCTCCAACGCGAGTGGCCCTTGAAAGCTCAAACCTTGGTCGGCAAGTCATTGCCTGGCACGGCAGAATTCGCTCCACGCCTCCACGCGGAGCTCCCTCGTCCATACTCGGCCGATGAGGCCACAAGTGCGGACGCCTTTCGTACGATTACTAAAACCCCTGCTGACGCCAGAAACAAAAGTCAATCTCGAACATACAATAATAAGCCTTTGCGCCCAGACGGTCCTTGCGGGTAAGTGGGAACTGCCGAGACACCTTAAAAGGCTGACGTGCGGTGACCGTTCGCCTGGTGAGAGCGATGTCTTAACTGTACACGAGAAGCCCGAAGCAGTCTTCTGTAGCGAAGCCGGGCTCTCAGATGTTCCATGTCACGACGACTGTTCGAAAGGCGGTTGGCCAAGACTGCTCACTTTCGTCAGATCACCCCAAAAAGAGAAAGGAAGTGAACCCGACGTACCATCATGATCTTCTCCAGGACAGGTTGTCGGACCTTGATCTAAGGACATCGACGGTAAAGTCCGAGCTTGACTTGGCAAGAACATCGAAGGCGGATCAAGCACTGGCGTCGCGGGCAGCGGTTTGACAACATGTCGAGGATCCAGCGGTTGGCCCCGGCGCTTGGCTTGCTCCTTGGTCTTGGTGATGCCAATCCCCAGAGGACCACGAACATTCTTTCGAAAGAGAGGCTCCACCTCGGTAACTGCCATCGTGTCCATTGGGGATTTGGCAAATGGTTGAACGGTATCCAAGAAGCTCTGCACGGACTTTTTGGAAGGAGGGGAAGGAGTTGCGTCGTCGATGTCGGCGTCGCTTTCAACATGCACCAGAGTCGGCGGCTGCTCGGCAGTGATCGTCTGCGAGGGCTCCTGTTTGCTGTAAAGATATTTCTTGAAATCTTGGTCAACCTTCCTCCACTCCAGACTTCGTGGGCCATCACGGACTCGAGACGCGGCGTTTCCTGGTGCTGCTTGCTCTGCAGCATCCCGTGTCGCGAGCATCCTGAACGTCGGATCCGGTTCAGTCTTGAGACCTGGCCGGGCGTGAATGGTCATCTTGAGGCCGCTTGCGAAGCTCACCCGTCCCACAAACTGCACGCAGAGCGCGCACGCGGCACGCTGCAGCTGAATGTGGTAGCACGAAAGCCCACCGTTGGCGCGGACGGCCTCTTTGAGCTCAAGCAAGTCGCCGGCATCCAGCTGATTTTTCCAGTTGAGCCCTAGGAACTCGCGAGCCATGTGGACGGCCAGCACGGCCAATTTCTTCTCCACGTGCGAGGCGTGCCAGTTTCCGTGACACTCGGGGCCAGCATTTTTCTGTCCGTGGGCATCATAGGGAGCTCCGATATTCAGGTCCAAAACTGTGGCCATGTTCTTGACCCGTTTGACCCATATGGGCTTGTAGAGTATGTTTTTTTTATCGGTGTCATTGCCAGGGACCAGCCTATTGCTGCTTGTGGCGCACTTAAGAACGTGCACCTGCCCATTGAGAATCACAGACAAGATGCCAATAGTGACGTTTTGGAAGACAACCGCTGTGTCCGCTGTTGGGTCTGCAATCTCAACCGTTGAACGCTCTTCCAGGATCTTGCAAATGTACTTTCCGGGCCCGACCCGAACCTTGAGGAAGTAGACTCCTTTTGGCAGCGAGAAGTCGTCTGAGCGCTTGTGGTGAACGCTCATGACTCGTGTTGAGGAGGAGGGTGATTCGAAACAGTGACTGCTTTCTGGCATACTCTGAATGGCGAGTAAGCACCATCAAGATGAGTTAAGTCAACGCTGCAAGGAACATACTCTGCTTGTTTCTGACATGATGGGCAGGTTCGCGATGACTTGAGTACCACAAAGTCGTGTTGCCCCCAGAAGCACCCCATAGAGTGTAAATTCAAGGCTTGAAGATGGCGATAGACTCTGAGGTTAAAGGGAAGTCTTGCTGAGTAATGAAGAGATATGTAACGTAGCGTAGATGCAGGACACAGAAAGGTGGGCGGATTGAGCACTGGGAAGTCGCCAGATATTGCGGTTAGAACTCTCTGTTGCTGTTGTTGTTCTTGCCATTGCTATAAGAGGTCACGGAGATATCGCCGGCACAGGTTGGCGTTTCTGTAGGCAGACTCGCAGGTTATTAGGGAAAGTGCTAGTTACGAGGCAGGCGCCGGAAGTCGCGTGGTGAAGGAATCAACAGGTACTGAATGGGTGCCTTCGGGTCCAACAGCATCTACCTCTAGTCAATCGAAGCTCCATCAGGAGAACGACGTCGCCCAACGCCTGGAGGCTTACACCCACGGCATGCATGACACGCCGAGAAGCCGCGCAATCACTACGGCAGGCACACGACGAACATCAGGTCAAGCGAGCGACGAGCATACGGGACGTTGTATTGGGGTGCAAAATTCCTCAATGAAGTGAATCCTTTTCAACGCCTAAGCCAATGCCACCGTTGCCATGAAAACCGAACCGAAACCGAGCTTTTGCGCAGGTCATGGGGGTATTTACTCGTCATCCTCCTCGTCCTCCTCGTCAGCCTCAGCGGTGGTCTGGGCGATACCTGTTGTTCTCATTAGCACATGTACTCAAGGAAAAAAAAGGCCTTTTAGGTCTGGCGTGGGGAAAGCGACGTACGGTCAAGATCACGCTGGCCGGACTGGGTGACGCGGCGGCCGCCCTTCTCCTCGTCGTGCTCAACGACGCCGATCTTCTCAAGGGCCTGGAGGACCTTGCGGTCGACGGAGCCGGAGGCGTCGAAGTGGTGGGAGGGACGGACACCACGGTTCTTGGCAGAGCCGTGGAGCTTGCGGAGACGGCCGACACCGACGGTCTTGCGGAGGTAGACGTGGCGGGCGACGGCGGCAGCGCGGACGTAGAACCAGTCAATGTCCTGGGGAGGGAGCTCCTTGGCGGGACCGGTCTTGACGATATCGACCCAGCCTGCAGTCGTTTCGTTAGTCCAATGCCGCCCCTCTCCTTGATGAGACCAAGGTCTGAAAGTGAGTACATACCGGGAATGGGGAGCTTGCCCTGACGCTTCAGGAAAGCCGCGTAGGCAGTGATGAACTTCTGCGCCTGTTCGGGAGAAAGGAACACCAATTAGCAATGATTCCGTCGTCAGAGGTCTTGCGACCCCCTCGCGCCTGCTCGATTTCTATATAGTGTTCCATTCCGTATCCTCGTTGCACGCCGTTCAATATCCCGCGATGCGCGCCCTGCGCCGGCCCATCTAGGGAAAGAATGTGTGTTCGAGTCCCATGTTGGTGTCGGGTTGGCGTGCGGGTCGCGATCGTTGTCAGGGTATTTTCTTGGTTTTGAATATCGTCGGGCGGCAACTCGGTTCGGGTTGGTGGAGTGGTCGAAGCTATTTCCTGGCGGAAAGTCTTCAATCGGAAGGGTGTTGACCTACATCGACATCGCGAACGGTAACGCCGCCGGCCATTTTGAAGGTATTGTCGGGGGGGGGTGAGGGGTGGTTTGGTGGTGGGTTAGTGAGGTCGTCTGGCGATGTGAAGAGTCGGCGATCAGGCGGCGGTCGAGCAGTCGTTGGATTTTTCGTGCCACTTGCGAAGTCTTGGCGGGAGGGTAGGGTTTGCCCTCTAGTGTGAAAAGGGCACGTGATTTTGGATTCTCTTTCGGGCGGGGCGCACAGGGACACGCACGGACCAGGCTGTACCTTTCGTTTAAGTGGACCGTTGGTGTGGCTTGTCTTGGGTGGGGGCCAGCACCGGACGCCTCCATGTACGATGGTGGTCATCATGAGAGCCTGGTGCCGTTCATCTCATCTGGCTGGAACGTATGCTCAACTATTTCAAGAGTTTGGTCGACTCGGATGAAAACAATCCATTGTATACCACAGGTTTCCGTGAGACAAAGTGTCAGAATCGCTTCTTCGAACCGCTTATTAAGTATGTAATCTACTCATACCTTCACTAACCCTGACAGTCTATTCCCAACGTCCCCCCGGTCCCCCTGAGACGCTTCCAATCTAAGCCCACTTGGCCAGCAGCGCCATGATACCGGCACCGAAAATGATGCACACAAAGGCACCCAGCTGCTTCCCGAGTCCCGACCTCCTCATCTGCGGGTTCAGCATAAACTCGTGCGCCAGCAACTCGACGAGACCAGTGTACATGAGAATACCGGCGCTGATAGCGTCAAAGATGCCGTTCGTCAAGGTCTGGTCCGCGGCGTTTGTGGGCTTGGCACCGAGGCCGGCGGCGATGCCAATAGGCGTGGCGAGACCGTAGCAGCCGGCGAGGAAATACGGCAGCCACCAGCGGCCGCCGGGCCAGCTGGCGATGGCGAGGCGGGAGCCGAGACCGAGACCCTCCATGAACTGGTGGAAGACGAGGACGATGAGGAGGATGACGAGGTCGTCGGTCGTGGCAAGGACGAGGCCGATGAAGATGCTGTGGAAGATGACACCAAACTCGAGGATCAGGATGGCCGTCAGCTGGCCGGCGAGGGCCGGGTGGTCGCGGTCGTGGTTAGCGAGGTGAGCGTCGGCCTCGCGGTCGCCGTGCAGAGCGAGGCTGCCGCGGGGCACGGTGGGGTCGGAGGCATCGCCGTCGTCGGAGTAGGGTCCCTCTCCCTTCGGCGACGATGCGGCGACGACGGCCGACTCAAGCGCCGCAGATTCGACCTCGGTCACGTAGCACTTGCCAAAGTGCGTGGCGAGCAGCTCGGCGAGGAACATGGTGAGGACGGTCATGAGGCCGATGAAGAAGGCCCAGTCGTACTCGCCAAGACGGTCGACGAGACAGGGGTCGCCGAGCTGCTCAGCGGCAGGGGCAAGAAGATGCATCCAGGCGGTGGCGATGATGACGCCGGTACCGATGAACTTGAGGGCGAAGAAGAGGACGGGCGGGGCCTTGACGTGGGAGCTGCGGTGGATAACGATGGGGATCAGGGCGCCGAGCAGGGATGCGACGAGGAGGATGAAGACAGAGGCAATGCGGAGGCCCATGTTGGACGTCTCGGCAGGGCTGCCGTCGCAATCATCCTCGCGACGCTGGAGGTGAAGAGCGGGTTGCATGGCGGCGGTGTTCGTGGCGGCCGGGCGTCGTGCTGCGATTGATACTTGGTGGTGATGCTTGGTGCTCGAGTGGCCAGAATTGCTTCGTCGTTGACGTTGTGCTTTTGCTGAGGACCAGCAGGAGGACCAGCAGGAGGACCAGCAGGAAGCAGAGTTGGCAAGATTTCCGGCGAGGAAGCGACCAGGAAGGAATGCAGCAGGCGCAAAGGGATAGCGGCAGCAATAACAAAAAAGGCGGTTTTTGAAACAGCGGAAGTGTCTTCTCTCCTGTGGCAGTGAAGTTCCCTTCCGAGTGCGAGACAAGATCCGACAAAGTCAATTCTGCATGCAGGCCTCTGCCGACGACACGTATCTTTCGTCCGACTGATCGGTTGAGTCGTCAATTGATGTCTATCAGCCTTGCCAATGCCAAGACCCGTCAACTTGGCACCGGGGCGGCAACTCTTGTACTCCCATGAGGCTTGGAGCTGGTGAGAACCCGGATGGCCAGAACGGCTAGGCGGTGCCGTTCTTTCAATCCGTCGCCGCTTTTTTCCTCTCTGGATCGAAAGAACGAGTAGGGTGGTCGGGGCGTCCGGCACTGGCGACTCGGCTTCACGGCACAGGCGGTGGACGCAGACTGGGTCTAGCGCGAGGCCCTGAAGCCTGAAGTGGCCCCTATAGGCCCTGTGTAGCGCCGTTCGCGCAGCGTGTCCAGCATGTCCAGTATGCGCGAATTGGTCGGGTTGGACCTTGGGAGGTGAACTAGGTTCGGTCGCTTGTATTGGCTAAGATAAGCTTGTTTTAGTTCACAGCGGTGCGCCTGGCGACTCACTGCTTGTTATCATGCTCGTCTCAGCCGTGCTTGTCGGAGCCGTGCCCGTCGAGGGACGATCTTGTGTGTCGTTCACGTTGCATGCACAGTCATTGCCCTTTCTGGTCGCGCCAAGCAGATGCACCTCGAAACGGAAAATACCAAGACTTCAGGGTGGCACTTGTGGGAGGGGAGACTGCAGGGCAGAGGACCCGGCAAAGCGGCACCATCCGACGAGTGATTTGGCTGGTTTCTGGCCTCTGGTCTGCTCTGGTCTGCTCTGCTCTACAGTAGCACATGGTACATGGTACGCGTCGCTGGCCATCCAGGTCCCCAGTGGAACCCCCACGAGCAGCAGAGAGCGTTGCATACCAGCCCGTTGCCCACTACCTAGGTACCTTGTCTTGCTAGTGTGGATGACAGTACTGTTTGACTTTTTAATGTGTGTATTAACAGCTCATTAGAAGGCGCCTAGTCATTCAAACTAGACACGCCAAGCGGTTTTCGGCCATGTCAGCTTTGTTCAGCGACATTTCACAGGCCCATGTCCTGCTCTCCTGTCTCTCCCTCACCCGATTCTATCACCAGGCACGTGTGAGACACGCCGAGATGTTCCATTTGAGCAGATTATGCGTCGTAACATCGTGGTACTGTACAGCCGAGGCAGCCTCCCGTCCAACCAAAAGAGAGACACCCTGGCGCCGTCTAGATGCTGTCCCATGCTTGTTCTTCTCCTCCTTCTTCTTTTTCTTCTTCTTCTGCTTCTCCTTCTTCAGACTCTCTCGTCCGGGAATAGTTCCGGCCCGCATGGCCTGCTATGCCATGCGGGCGGCATGCACACTAGCCCTCATGACGAGAACTGAATCTCGGCCCCCACCGTGCGGAACGGCGAGTCCAGGCTCCGCAGGTCGATGCCGCTGCCCAGGCTGAACAGCAGCGACTTGGCCCGCCCTTCCCAGAGGATGCCTATCCTCAGGTTCTGGTCGAGTCGCGCCTTGATGACCCCCGTGTACTCGTCATCCTGTGGGGGCGTCTTTGTGCCCCATTGGCTGCCAGCGTTGTCATCGTCGTTGTCGTCGTCAAGCCGCCACGCGAGCTTGGCCTCGAAACTCCTCTCCCTCGGTCCGTCCCTCGTGGGCTTGGCGACGGGCACGAGCACCGTCTCGGGCGGCAGGAGCGGGTCGTCCGCCCTCCACTCCATCTTGGCCCGGAAGCTCCTCTCGCGGACGAGGCGCTCGGCCGACAGCGCTGGGTCCATGGCGGCGCGCACCACGCGCTTGCGCCACAGCTCGAGGCCGACGGCCCAGTCGCTTTCGTAGCTGTACACGTTGAATCCGAACCGCGTCGCCACGCTGCAGTGCCGCCCCGCCATGACGGCGTACGTCGCGCTGATGTTGCCCATGAGCGGGTTGATCGTCAGCGTCGTCGTCAGCGGCGTGCCCTGGTGCGACGGCAGCGTCGCGAACCGCGCCCCGACCGACATGCCGCCCGACTTGTTGAGCGTGCCATAGTAGATCTCGCCTCCCGTGCTGAAGCGTCCGTAGATGCGCTCGCGCGCCGCGTCGTCCTTGCTGCTGCTGCTGCCGCCGATAGCCTGCGTGTTTGTACTTGTGACTGCGTGGAAGTGTCCGTTGTCATCCGTCTCTTCGGCATCGCCGCCAAAATTGTAGATGCCGCGTAGGCCGAGAAGGCCGCCGTCGGAGGAGGCGAGGCCCTCGACGGCGTATCGGCCGACGTCGTAGTGCGCCAGGCCGAGCAGCGTGCCCCCGCTGCGCAGGTAGTGGCCCGAGACGGCGCTCAGCTGGAGCTGCAGCGCGGGCGAGATGCGCTTGATGACGAGGGCCTCGAGAAGAGACTGCGGCAGGTAGAGCCGGCCATAGTAGAGAGAGGCGGCGGCGGGGCTCGTCAGGTCAAAGGGCTCGAGGTCGTCGAGGCTGGCGCGCTGCGGGAGCGCCGGCAGCGGCTTGTAGGACTGGAAGAGGGTCGAGAGGGGGAGGCGTTCGGACTGCGGGGTGAGGTAGGCGCGGAGGGGCACCGAGGAGTAGAGATAGGAGATGGAGCCGTCGACGACACCGACCGAGCCTAGCTGGTAGGACGTGGCAAAGTTGGGCGACGCGAGGGAGGAGAGGGTCAATCGGAGGCCGAGAGGCGTCTCAAAATTGAGGAGAGCTGCAGACAAGGCCCTGTCAGCCGTGACATGATCCCCAAAAGGGGGGGAGAGAGGAGGGGTTCATACCGTCAGCGGTCGAGTTCAGAGACGAGTAGGAGCTCTCTCGATTCCAGCCTGTCGCCTCGTAGAACGCACCGCGCACGTAGTCCATAAACTCCCGCATGTTGGGCGGTTTCTAGGTGCCGATTTGCGGTGGTCCCGTCAATCCTCCTCCTGTTATCGTGGGCAAGTCATTGGTGTCGCGTGTCCGTGTGTGTGAGAGAGCTTGCAATCTGGTGTTGCCAGCGATCGTCGATCGCGATGGCGGCGCTGGGCCTCGGAGGTGAGCCAGGCAGTGTCGTGATGACTAAGCCAAACACACTCACTTCCTCGGATGATATGACGTTTCTGTCCACACGCCATCTTCAACACCTTGCTGCACTTCATCGCATCTCGAGTCTATTATCAATAAAGGAACCGTCGGAGGCTTCATTACTGTATTTGGTATCTGTTGCTGCCTGCGCCTTGCTGTTACAGCCCACTGAGTGCTGCCTTGCTGGCGGGGTCCCTTGCATACAATCGATCCAGCTTCATCTCCAAGACCCTGACCTTCTCCTGGCTCTCCTTTGCCTCCTTCTCCGCCGTCTCCATTCTAGTCTGCAGATCCAAGACAACCTTCGCCCGCCGGTGCGCCTGCTCCATACCCAGGTAGCGTCCCTGAAAGTCGAACAGCAACCGTCGCTCGACGATGACGACGGCTAGGTACGACAGAAACATGGCGATGGCCTCGGGCGTTCGCGCGATGAGGTAGAGTATTCCGATCGTCCACACAAAAGCCTTGGAGGGCATGAGAGGGCAGAACATGCTCGACAGATCGCGGAGCAGAGAGCACACATCGCGCAGCAGCCGAGCCCACTGCGACTCGGCCTCGCAGGCCACCTTTTCGGCCCTCATGCGGAGGTGATGCATGCTGCCGCGGCCGACGGGCTTGTCGGCCGGCTCCCGCTCGCCGGCAGGCGTTTCTGTTGTGTACAGAGGCTGCTGCTGCTGCTGCTGTTGCTGCTGCTGTTGCTGCTGTTGCTGCTGCTGGTCGTCGCGGGGCTTGTGCATCGGCTCTTCGGCTTCGTCTTGCTGATGCGCGGCGTCGCCTTTGATGGGCATCTGGTTCATGCGCGGGACTCGGGCCTCGGCGGCTGCGACACCGAGACAGGCACCGCAGGCGGGCTCCAACGTCTCGGCCATGTTGGAGAGGGTCATGCCGATCACGGCTAGAAAGTATGCTTTGATGGGTCCGATGGCCATGTTGATTGTTCTCTTTCCGTTTGAATAACTGAATGCGTTCTGCGAGATGATTGTGGTGGATTGTGTCCTTCCCAGTAGCAGTGCGTTGGGGCCTGACATGATGAGCGGGCATGGTGGCACAGCGACACTTGTGCGCCGACTGACGAGATGACGACGCAGTTGTCCATGTTCGGTTCGTCGCCAATAGCCAAGGTGCGGCGGTGCTCGCGAGTGGCAGGTCTTGAGCGTGATACCATCTCGCAATTGGCCGTCATCCTGGCTGACCCCCTTGGCGGTAGGCCACGAATGTCAGCATTTCCTTGGCTCTGTGGTGTGGCCGAAAGCCGGTAGGATCCGTCTTGGCAGGGCTGTGAAGGTTGCGATGGATGCGTCGACTTCAAGCAGCAACTGTCAATGGAAGCAAAACAACCACGCCGGGTCGATGCCGTCCGAGCGGTTCGGGTACCTACCTCGGCGGCCTTGATAAGTGGACATGCAATATGCAAATCATGGTGGTGCCTGTCCGACGATGAGCCGTCGGAGAAGCGGGACATCACACCGGTTGTGAGCAGCCCTACCGACATCTTGTCCTGTGCCACCATTTCCCAGTCATGCTGTCGTCCGTCGGGACCTCTTCTTGACTCACTCACGGCATTTTTCTCGGGTGGGAAGATGTGCAGTTGGGCGACGAACGTCTCGTCAAACCCGTCAGATGTTCCTCGCACCAAACACGCCCAACAGCCCATGCTGAGACGGTGGCTTCAGAGCACGCATCGAGAAAATTGATCGAGCGAAAGTCCTTTCCCTTTGCGTTCTGCCCATGGCCAGAGTCGAAGTGCCGGTCATCTTGCGCCAACCGGCTGCGAGATTTGGCCCTCGCCAACGAGCCTCTGGGGCTTTGTCCGGCCATGTCTGTGTGTTCCTGCATTCGGCAAAATCCAACGAACCCAAAGCCGTGAAGGATCAGATGCAGCCCCTCCCCCCCCCATCTAGCTTTCGATCTCGAACGGTTCGCCAAATGCGATTGACTCGAGCGGAGGACGGCGCCAACTGGAAAAACAACCAACTGAGATTGTGCCCAGAAGCAAGGCGGGTGGGTGCCTTGCTTGCATTGCTTGCCTTGGCTACAGGTACCTTTTGGGGTCCTTCACGCTGCAGATGGGGATTTGAACCCCCCAGAGGCTCTGACTATCGACACTCCCTGCCAAAGGCGCGGTTGGTGCATAGCCTCTCCATGAACAGAACGTCGCCCCGACACACCTCACAGATCAGCGGCACCCCGGAATTCCCAGACACAGCCCCCATGCGAGTCGCTTCCGCGCGTAATTGTCCACAGGAGCGCCTAAGTTTAGCGCCTTCGACCACATTGGTGCTTAGGCAGAGGGTACGGTACGCGGGGAAAAGCGCGAGGTGCCTATTCTCAGCCAAGTCTCGCGCTTGCGTACGCGCATAGGCAGCTCAGAATATCTTCCCATCTCTCGTCATGCTCTGCTGCCCTACGGCGCTGTCCCTCCTGGGGCTGTCATGGGCATCGCGGCATCCCAGCCGTCGTGCTTCGCCGTTTTCGCGCCGCCCGGGAGCTTTCTGCACCGTGATCCTTCCCACGCGAGGGCGAAATAAACCTGCAGGAGAGATAGCCGTTCATGGATCTCGCTCCCGCGACCGTGCCTGCACGCCACTGACGGGTTGTATTCCTCGCCCGGCCAAGATCCTGCGACATTTCTACAGACCCCAAAAAACGGGGCAGCAAGAGGCGGGAACCTGTTTCTCCCCTCCTCGACATCTGAAACGCACCAGAAGACGCAGTCGTGGCTCGCTTCCATGCGCCTGCACCATCCCTCTGCTTCAGCTCGCTCCCCGTTTGGACACATGACCCGTGAAAGAGAAGCTATTTCCGCCATCCGGTCGTACGATTGTCTGTTTTTGGCGAACGAAAAACGCTCGCCGCGGACTCGGCTGAAAGGTCCACTGTGACCTGTCTAGGTAGAATGCGGGTTGTTCTCGCCCGTTGGTGGCGGGGCCTTTTCTCCTTTTCTTTTCGTGATGGCGACGCCCAGTGGTGGCATGTCTGGCGGTGGCAAACGATGGGATCAACGGGATCGAAAGCTCCAACATGCACAAGAGGGGCCTGCGGACAACGGACCGATCCGATGGTCTGCGGCTCCTTGCCGCGACCGGCCTTTTGGCCAGGGAAAGTCGCTCCAACCCCCCCCCCCCCATCTGCCGTGGCTCCATGTGTGTCGAGGCTGAAGAGTAGGTAGCCAACAGGATCGCCCTTGCGTCACGAGGGCATTCGAAATACACCAACTACGAACTGATGTCTCTGACTCAGTGCCATCCCAGTGACAAGCATCTCGAGTCGCGACAGAGGTGACCAACAGCAGAAAAGCCGTACAGCGTCGACTCGCAAGTGGAGTGGACAAAGGGCGCCGTCACCATCAGCAAAATGAAATCTAAGTAGTGTTGGACTGTGCGCGTGCAAGTGCAAACGTCACTCCCAAGTCGACAATGTTCGCGCCGGAGCAAGCCAAGGTGGATAGGATAAGAAAATCTGTGACAGGGCCTCGGACGGCTCGGAAGGCCGCCGAACATGAAGCCTTCCTCGATTCTGCAACATGCACGCGCTCGGTTTCTTCAGCAAGGACGTGCAGCAAGAGCAGCACCGGCGATGCCCCGCATCCTGCGACCTTCCCGTCATCGGGTCGAGGACGTGGGATGGCAGATAGATGGCGGGTGGGTAGACAGGCAGGCAGGCAGGCAAGCACACGCCCATCACCAACAGCGTCACGAGACAGGGCAACGAAATACCGAGTCCGAAAACAGGCCAGCGTGAACGTGCCCCAAACCGCAATGCCTCACATCATCCCACTCACGGAATCCGCCAACACCCCGTCCTGGCTCTCGCTCGTCTCCTGCTGAGCGCCCGCCCATGCCCACGTCTGCGCCGCGGACCAACGTCGTCCCCCTCGTCCCATCGCCTCGCTTCGCAAGGATCACAACCTTACTCGGCACTTTGCCATGCCCAGCTCCCCCCTTGTACTTGCATCGTCGCCGTGTTCGTCCGCAAGAAGGCCTCTCGTTGGGGCCGCTTCTGAAACATGAAACAAACGCAGGTCCAGCCCGCACATGGTCCCCCTCCAGGATTCATCCAGCTGCATTCGACAACCTCAGCTGCACCGAGCGTCGAGTTTTGACACCCCCCTCCCCAAGAATCAAGAAACGGACTACCTCCTGCCCCCCGTGCATCAACGGTAGCCTCCCTACATCATGTATCCGTTGGCCAGATCCCTGACCGCCCGGCCGCGGGACCAGGCCCAGACCGTCTCCCTTTTCTCGTCCCTCTCTGCCAGCTGATGCCCAGGCGTCATGGCACCGGTGCTGTTGGGGGCGTTCAGCTTGGGGCGAAGCGGCCGCGGACCCCGGCAGCCGGCCTGGTTCGCGGCAGAGGGAAAAAGGAAAAGAAGCAACAATGCGCGAGATTTCTTCCCGCAACACGGGGGGCGGAAACAGGAAACGGAAAGCGGGACAGTCGGAGACGAACAGCGGTCGCTTGATCCTGCTGCTCTTCCGGGTGCCTGGGTGGAAATCGAGACCGGCCAGTTCAGCCTCGGTCGCTACCTTGCCATCTCGTTCGGGCCAGCGTGGCGTGTGGCCTGATTGGAGACCTAGGTCGCGCGGCCCGGGCCGTTACGAGGTCTGTGGCTCTAATCGTCGTCTTGTTTCGCTGCTGTACGCTTGGTCAAGACGGGAGATGTCACACACACACACACACACTCTCTCTCTCTCTCTGATCCCCTGTCGCTCACTGCCGCAACCCCACACATTGCCAGAAAGCAGAAAGATGAACGGAAATCATGTTGAAAAAGACAAAATAAACTGTAGCATGTTCGTCGCAAAGACTCTGGTCTACCCGAGGAACATGTTCCTGCGAGAGTCTCTTCCCTGGTTGCCATCAACGCCCCGTGTACACCCAATCTCTCACGCAAACTTTTCTTGTACTGCTACACGGTTTAGGATGACATCTCTTTCCCACTCTCCTCTCCAGTAAAAGCCCTCTCTCCATAATTAGGTTCGCACTCATTATTGTTGGGGGGTCGACACGGAAACGGCTGGTGGGGTTGCTGATGTTGTCGACGTCTGGGGGACGACGAACCGCCCGCGAGGGCTCTTAGAGTCGCTGTCTTCGGACTCGTCGTCGCTGTTGCGGTGGCTGGGGCTGTCTTGGTCGCCTCTGCGGCGGTTGGTCATCTGTAGCGGGTCAGCACATGCATCAAGTCTTCAACAGAGATTCAATCGTGACGCACCCAAGAACGAACACCGCCGATGAGTCCCAGTGTGTAACCTCTGATGAACTGGTCGCCAACCGGCGTGCCTCCTGGCGTTGTCGGCGGAACGTCGATGCTGAGACGTGACTTTGCCGCGTTGGCAGCCGAGCCGGGAGTCAGGATGCCGTCGTTCGGGCCGTAGAAACCGTTCGGGGCGAGAGAGTTGCGCACCGACGGTGCGGGGCTCTGCGGACGCGAGGCAGGCCAGTACTGACGCAGCTCGCGGCTGAGCTCCTGGCCGGTCGTCGACCAGTTGGTGCGGATGTTATCGCGCAGATCCTGGACATGGCGCTTGAGATCGAGCTCGTTCTTCTTGAGCCAGCTCACGTTGAGCTCCTGGCGTGAGGCGCCGCGCTTGAATTGGCGGGCAATGTACTTTTCGTAATCGCGGACGATCCTAAGAAAAAAAATGTGGTCAGCTCGGAGCCATACGAGTACGTCTGGATCTCCTGGGTACTCACTTGGTGATGATGCCCGTGGTGCTGACGCCTTCAGTGCGCTGGGTTACAAGGAACTTGCCCTGCTCCTTGATGGGCTTGTAAATGTCGTCGCCCTCGTCGGCGCCGTAGGGAAGATCGTCGTGCGCAACGTAATCAATCTGGTGCTTCTCAAGGAACTCCGTCGTCACGATCCAGGGGCAGTTGTCAATGACCTCGTCCACCCACTTGCAGTGCCTCAGCGTCTCGGCACGCTCGTTGCCGGAGAGAACGGTCAGGCCCTTGCGCTTGTGGGTCTCGACATCGCCAGTGACACCGACGAGGAGGTATGTGTTGGGGAAGGTCTTTTTGGCCTGCTCGAGCTGTCGCATGTGGCTGGATGAAGAGGTCTTTGGTCAGCGCCCATTTTCACGTGGAAGAGGTCGATTGGTCGACGAGAAACATACCCAAGATGGAACAAATCGAAGACGCCGTCGGCGTACACCCTCACGGGTCGCCCGACGGGCGGGTCGTTGGTCCTGAAGCCGACGGGGTGCACAATGCCAGAAGGCGGAGGCGCCATGCCCTCGGCCTCCCTGGTGGGGAAGCCATCCTTGAAGGTAGGCTTGCGAACCTTGGTGCGACCGACGCGCTCGGCAATGTCGACGCTGGCCTCGGTGGTGTCGCTGGGCTCACCAGGGTCGACGACGTGGTCGGCGTACTCTTGAGCACGATCCGAATTGGCGCGTTGCCTCTTAGACGGGTGGGCGGCAGCAGAGTTTGAGTCTGTCTTTCGGTTGCCGAGAGAGGTCGATTCGGGAGCGGTGCTGTCGCCCTCTTCGCCCGAGGCATCGCGTGACGGGGCCTGGAGACCAGAGTCGACCATGTCGCTTGAGCCGGGCATGTTGGCGTTGTTGCGCTTCCGCTTGCCGGCGGCGGAGGAATTCGAGGGCGAGGACATTGTGGGTTTATGACGGACGAAACCAGGGGTAGGGTCGACAGGGCCTGCAGGGCTTATGTCAGGTTGCAGGCGAAGCGTGGTGTGGCCGTGGGGATGATGCGGTCGTGGGCAAGTCTGCAGCTGCGATTGGGCTCCAGGAGCTAGTAGGGCGATGATGTCTTTTGGCCGGTGCTTGGCTCAAAGGTGGTCGCGGAGGGCTCGTTCCTTGGTTTGGGGGGGTGGATGGATGGTCGAAGAGCAGGTTGGGATAACGATGATGAAAGAAATAGGAGGGCCCGAAAAGCTTGGTTTGGGAGGGACGGGATGGGAAAGGTGACGAAGGAGGGATGGGCTGCGACGTGTGAACCCGGGAAAACGCGCCTCCAGTCTGGACAGACGGACCAGTGATGTGATGATGTGCGGATTTCTTGCTGCAGGTGCCGAGTGGGCTGCGGATGCGGGTGCGGCTGATCCAATCGACCTGCAGGAGAGTGACGACAGGAGGCGAGACGGCGAGATGTCGAGATGTCAGAATATCAAGATATCAGGATATCAAGATGGCAAGGTGTCAAGATGCCAGAATGGCAGAAATGCAAAGTCGACAAGAGGCAGCCCAAGAGGTCCCGCAGATGTGAAAGTCGCCAACATTGGCTGTACATGCCACGAACCGAACTCCTGAAATTCCCCAGTCCAAGACCTCGCGTGTCTCCTTACCTCTTTCCCCCCCTTCCCCCTTCACGCTTCCCCCTTCCCAGCGTCCAGCTCCGAGCTTCTAGCTTGTGGCTAGTAAAGTAAGGCAGGTGGCAGCCGTACCACCTTCTTGCTCTCCCGAACTCCCCTGACCTGCCCCTTCTCTTTCCCCCTTCCTCCCCTGCTAGGTACTTCCCCCCCCTACCCGCCTGTCTACCCTGGTTGCTTGTGATCCTTGTGATTGTTGAGATTATGGCCCCTCCCCTGTAGCCCTGAACACCTGAACACGGGGAAAGTGTGGCGTCATTCTGCCTGTGGCGGTGCTATTTAGGGTGGCTGGAGGGCGAGATGAGGCCATCTTGTTGAGGGTGGAGTGTGGCTTGACCTCGTATTGCATCATCATCTCCCAGTCCACTTTGTTCAGCTTAGGCCCATGAGGTGGATTCTGGTTCCGTAACACCTCCACCAAGCTCCACGATGCGTCGCTCGCCTCGCTCACTTTGCTCGCCCCGTTCCTCCGAGTCTTGCGCTGCTCAGCAGTGCTCAGCAGTGCGCAGGAGGGACGAACAGTACCTGAGCAAGGCTCGTGCTCGAGAGCTGCCAGATTCGGGAAGCCGGTAGCACGGTCCTTCCCACGCAGCTGTCGGATATCTTGCAGTAAAGCAACCAACCACCTTTGGACCTCGTCGAAGCATCGTCGCCTTCATTCGCTATGCGCGAATCAATTGCTGGAATGATGATCGAATCTCCCTGTTGTCGAGTTCGAAATCAGAAGACACCAAGAAGAAAATTGAGACCATCCGTCCAGCATCCTCAGCGTACCTCGTCACCGTGTCATGTCCTACTTCTACTTGAACCCACTTTCCCCCTGAATCAGACAACTCGCAGACAGCTTGATGAGATTGATCCTCTCCTACACAACAACGACAAGAACACAGACCAAGCTGAGCCTCCTGAAGAAAAAAATGCAGAGATCGCACCATGATTATAAAGAACGTCATGATCATTCTTCCCCGCCCCCGCCACAGGGTCCAGCATCGGACCGCCGTCGAGGCCATCAAGGTCCCCGCCGTACCTGCGAACAACTCGCACTAACACCACAAGCAACCGAGCTCGACCATGCACAAAGCTCTTTATCTACATGCTGCTTGCTTGCTTGCTTGCCATATGAGGTGTCCATTGCCGCGGGCCTGGCCATCAAGGTGGCCGGCTCTGTGACCCCGCGCTGTGTTTGGATGCCTTCTGGATGGAAGATGGCCAGGCGCATTGCTGCGGCCTGTCTCATATATCAAGCAAGACTGCCACTCCAGTAGAATACCCTGATCTTTCTCGTCAGCGCAGTGAATATTTTAGTGTATCTGCCAGTATTCTCTCTGCCCTCTTGCCGAGTTTCAGTTGGTCTCAACATGGCTGATCTTCACACACCTGACATCTACGACGTCCTGATCGTCGGGGCCGGACCCTGCGGTCTGGCAGTGGCCTCACGTCTTTGCGAGCATTCGCCTTCCGCTCTTTTCACCGATGACGAGCATCAGAGGTACCACTGGGTCAAGAAGCATGGTCGACGCATGGCTCTCAAGAACAGGCGGAATGGACGTGTTTCCCAAAAGGCCATGGCTCATGACAAGGAGCCGCCCAAATACTCAACCCTGGTCCTGGACGGCACTGGCGATGAATTCATGAACCGCTGGAAGACACTGTTCACAGCTTTCGACATCCACCACCTGCGTAGCCCCATGTTCTGGCATGTTGATCCCAGTGACCGAGATGCCTTGCTCGCCATGGCCCATAATGAAGGTCGAGAGAACGAGCTGTTCGAGCTCAAGAACTGTGTCGGCAAGGAAGTGAGCAAACATCTCAGAAGATCACGGGCCAAGTGTCGCAACCCATTGTGAGTTACCGTGGGTCATCGCGGAATCGTTTTCGGCTGGTGGACTAATGAGCTCCAGACACCATGCCGTGGTCGACGTTGACGAGCGAGATCGCAAAGATTACTTTACTCCACCCACGTCGCTCTTCTTACAACACTGCCACAGTATTGCTGACCGATACGGTTGCGGCCATGTCGTGCGGAAAGAAATGGTGCAGCACGTCGACTACCCTACAGCCCATATCAGCTCCCCAGACGAGAAGCTGTTCACTGTACGATCAGACAAGGGAACACATTACGCTCGAGCTGTCGTCCTTGCCGTCGGCCCGGCCAACAAGCCTGTCATCCCCAACATTGCTGGACTCAGCAGCCTTGGTCCCGACAAGGGATCCGAGCCACCCCACGTCTGCCACGCCATGAAGATCAAGGAGTTCCCTGCTACCGTCGTCCAGAACCGCATAGCTGCCCGCAAGCCCACCAATGTCCTCGTCGTCGGTGGCGGTCTCACGTCCGCCCAGCTCACCGATCTCGCCATCCGCCGCGGCGTCACAAAGGTGTGGCACCTCATGCGCGGTCCTTGCAAGGTCAAGCTCTTCGACGTCGACCTCTCGTGGATGGGCAAGTTCCGCAACGTCGAGCAGGCCTACTTCTGGGGCGCCGATTCGGACGCCGAGCGCCTCCAGCACATCCGCGCGGCACGCAACGGCGGCAGCATCACGCCGACGTACCACAAGAAACTCAAACACCACGTGGCCGCCGGCCGCGTCGAGCTGCGCTGCGACACGAGCATCAGCGGCGCCACCTTTGACGCGCACAGGGGCATGTGGTCCATCGAGACGACGCCCCCCGTGCAGGCCATGCCGGACTTTGACTACATCTACTTTGCCACGGGCATCGAGACCAACTTTTTTGACCTGCCGTATCTGCAGGACATGCTGGCGAAGCACCCGATCGAGGGCCACGGAGGTCTGCCGTCGATCAACGAGGACCTCAAGTGGGCAGACGACATTCCGTTCTTTGTCACGGGCCGCCTCGCGGGCCTCCAGCTGGGGCCGGCAGGGGGCAACCTCGGCGGCGCAAGGGTGGGCGCCGAGCGGATCGCGTGGGCCATTGAGGATATCCTGCCGGGCAAGTCGGCCCAGGGAGACGGCGAGGAGTTCGACGACGAGCTGCACTATGTGACGGCCAGGGGCAACAGGTTCCGCAGTCTCCCCGTCGCGGGAGAGGACGAGTGAGGGCTTGCTGTTCTGGGTTTGGGTGAGTGCTGAAGATGCGACGACAGTGTTGAAGAGATACAAAGATTAAGAGGCAGAAAAATGCAAAGAATATTTTATTATCCCCAAGCTCGCCATTCATGCAAACAAACTCCCATATGCTAAAACTTGACATAAGATACCATGAAGAACACACAGCAATAACCCCGAGACGGACGGCTTCCTCAGTCAGCTAACTCCCCCCGCACCCTATTTCTCCTTGTCGGTGAACCCCTTGGCAATCTGCGCAAACACGTCGACGCCGTCCTTGCCGAGCGCCGTGCCCACAGCGACGGCATAGGCGCCAGCGTTCCTCATCCTGCGGTAGGCCTCGGCATCGCCAACGCCGCCGACGCCAATGACGCTGATGTGCTTGGTCTCGGGCCAGCTCTTCAGCATGCGGGCGATGGTGCGGACGTTGCCGAGGGCGAGGGGGTGCAGGGGCGGGCCGGCCATGCCGCCGAGGCCGTCGCCGGGCAGGGCGGGCTTGCCGTCGGGGCCGAGGACGAGACAGGCGCCGAGGGTGTTGCAGGTGGTGATGAAGCTCAGGCGGCAGGGGGTCTTCATGAGGGAGGAGCGGGTGACGACGATGCAGCTCTTGCGCAGGACGTCGAGAAGGTCAGCAAACTGGGTGGCGTAGGTGTAGGGCGGCGTCTTGATGCCGACGGGGAGGTCCGGGGCCGCTGGCAGGACGTCGAGGTAGGCCTTGAGGCCGGCGGCCGTGTAGGCCGGGGGCGGGGCGTCGGCGATGTTGGGGCACGAGAGGTTGATCTCCATGGCGATGGTGAGGTTGGGCACTTCGTCCTGGAACGCGTCGAGGCGGTCGTAGCACCGCCGGATCTCCTGCGGGGTCCCCGTCACGGAGACGATGATGGGCTTGAGGTGCTGTGGTGATTTCTTGTCGACCGTCTTGTGGATCTTTTTGAGGAAGGCAAGGTACTTGGAGAGTGGGTAGGGCGAGTAGCCCAGATTGTTGACAGTCGCGGCGTCTTCTTGCGGGTTGATGGCCGGGGCCGATTCGCCCTTGGCCCTCTGGCGCGCAGAGGAGCTGGCGAGCAAGGTTGTTGGCGAGAAGAAGGCATACTGGTGGACGGCGTCGTCGTGCTCGAAGCCGTCGAGGAGCGTTGTGCGCGTCGTGATGGCGCCCGTGTGCGGGCTGTCAAAGATGGTTTGCAGATCTTCGAGCGTGGTGGCCCATGGGTTCGCCGAATTGAGCAGAGGCGGGGTGATGGTGAGCTCGGGGGGAGGGTCGCCTTCCATTGCAGACATTGTTGGCTCGACTGGCGATTGCGGTGGGATGGGTATGATGAAGGTTGGTGGTTACGTCTTGACAGGTTTTGAAAGACAGACACCGTTCGAGAACGAGAAGAAAGGCTGAAGAATGCGATGGCAGGACGAAGAAAAGAGAGAGGAATTGACAAGATGCTGCCAGGGGCGCGGCCGATATGATGTAGTGGTGGGACGAGTATCGCGAGGCGCTCAACCGCGGGGTCTGCTCGCTGTGCCAATCCCACTTATCCTTGTGCGTATCCCAGTATGTCGGCAGGATCCATCCGTGAGAGCGTCCTGATTTGTCTCTAGCTCGTCCCAGTCGAGCGCGGCCGCGATGGATGCATGGAGGAAATGAGAGCGCCGCAGCTCGCGGTGCACCAGTTTCCAGGTTTGCGCTGCGTGAGGTGGGTTCAGAGCATGACATCATGGCGACATGCGCGTCGCGTCCTCCTCCTTCACACACACACACACGCACGCACCCACAGGCTCGCTCTCCGTCTCGACCGCGACATGCGAGATGTATCCTGGGTGGATTGCATGTGTAGGTGATCATCGTTCTATTGATGGAGCTGCTGACCTGTCATATTGACTGACAGTGGCTGGTGGTGGTGGCAGCTTAGCGTGTGCCGTGGTAGCAGTTTGAGTCGATCTCGTGGCCTCTGATGGATACCCAGATGCAACCGTTTGACGGGATGCTATGCAGCAGAAGAAAGAGAATGCGAACTACCCTGCATAGTGTGCTGATGGTTCTTTTTTTCTGCATGTTGTCCATTTTTTGCATTTGCTGCCTCGAGGAGGAGCACCTGAGAAAGGTGTCACATCGTCGATACGCGAAAGCACCCTGCAGCTCTCATCCAGGCATTGCTTTGACGGGGCCAGGTGTCGAGATACAGCTGCAGACCATGATGAGATGTAGGATCAATGCCATGGTGCTCAATTTTGGAAAAGGCGTAGGAGACTGGGCACATCATGGGAATACTTCACCAGCTGCTTGTAGCCAGCTCAAGCCAGCCAGGCAGGTCCATTGGAGGCAATATCAATCACGTGACCACACAGTCAGCAATGCCGAGCGATCCCCTGGACGGTCCGTCCCCTGGAACGCTGCCGTTCCAGCAGTCGAGGCTGTCACTACAGGTGCCAGGCCTGACCATTCTGATTTGCCCCGCCGAATGACTCTCTCTCTCTCTCTCTACGCCCTCAATCGCCTCCTCGTGCTCCCCCACCTCCATTTGCTCATTGCTCATGGGGGTTCCAGCCAGCTGGACACCGTCTCGATCCATTCCTATCTCCTTTACCAACGCGCGCCTTACCAATGCACACACCCGCTCTGGACCTCACCACGCCTTGCCATCGCCGAACTTTGCCATCCCAGAGTGGCGTGTGCTCGCCGACCGTCTGATACGCCCCGCCCCGGTTCACTCTCTGATGAGACGGCCTGTGACACCCCGGATGATCGCCAGACTCCCCCCATCATCCGACATCCTCTTCTCGAACCGAGCATCCCCCCTTGACGACGGCCTCTGATTGCATTCGCTCAACAGAAGGCCTCCATCGACAGCAAACGCCTGCGACCTTTTCTGCTCGAATATGAGCTCGACGCCATCGATCACGGGCAAGTCCCTCTCCGCTTCGACATCCCATTCTCCTGCCGTCCAGCCCGGCCCCGCCCCTTCGAGTTTTGAGTCGACCCGCCGCCCGAACCAGACGAGCCCCTCCATCACCCAGACGAACGCCCGCAAGGCACAGGCCGCCAGGAAACAGCACAAGAACCAACGCCGACCCGCTGGCTTTGGCCAGCCACGACAGAACTCCACGCTGGATGACGATGACGACATGGCTGAGATTCGAGCCGTCCGGAACGCCTCGAGCCGCCGTGGCCAGACATCCATCACCCATCTCCTGAACTACAGCACGCCTTCTCGTCACTACCAGGATCACCTCCACACCCACCACCACTCCTCCTACTCGAGGAGCTACCGCCGTAATCCCACCTGGGGTCCCGGATCCGGCCACCACGCCGCCGACAAGGCCCGCTACGTGCACGCGAACTACCGCTTCGTCGTCTCGCCCGAGGGCAGCTACGCCACGCAGGCTGTCGACGCCGACGAACACCTACAATGGGGCGACGTCCTCCAGATTCTGGCCTCGGCCGAGTCCCAGGCCACGAGCTGTCCCATCTGTCTGTCCGAGCCCGTCGCCCCGAGGATGGCCAAGTGCGGCCACATATTCTGTCTGCCATGCCTCATTCGCTTCATGAGCGCGAGCGACGACGATGCGAAGAACAACAGAGGCGCGCGGTGGAAGAAATGCCCCATTTGCGAGGACAGCGTGTACGTTCACGAGACTCGCCCTGTCCGCTTTTACGCCGGCCAGGAGAGCCCACTCCCTCGAGTCGGCGACGATGTCGTGCTCAGGCTCATGGCAAGGTCGGCGAAATCCACACTTGCCCTGCCTCGGGAGGGAGGCGCCGAAGCCCTCGGTGCCGCCGACGACATACCCTGGCACTTTGCTGCCAACGTCCTAGACTATGCGAGGATCATCAAGGGCACCGCTGGGTACATGTCTGAGCAGTACGACGAGGAGATCCAGGCTCTACAGAAGCAGGAGACGGAGGACCAGCTCCTCTATCACGAGGATGACGAGTGGACACAAAAGGCCATCCGCGCCATCAACACAGCCAGAGACAAGATCAAGGACCTCGGTGAGCAGGCCGGCCTGCCCTCTGCCAGCTCAAAAGATGCAGGCCAGACCAGGGTGGTACAGCCCGATTTCTTCTTCTACGCATCCCAGCCACATCTCTATCTATCAGCACTTGATATTCGCATCTTAAAGACAAAGTATGGAGAATTCTCGGCCTTCCCCTCCACCCTCCTCCCGCGCGTCGAACACATCTCCACCGGCCATGTCCTCGACGACGCCCAGCGAAAACGGGCCAAGTACCTCGGCCACCTGCCCTACGGCTGCGTCATTAGCTTCCTCGAGTGCGATTGGACCGATATTGTCCCCGCGGAGATCCTCGACAAGTTCGCCGGCGACATTGAGAAGCGGAGGAAGCGCAACCGCGACAAGGCCGCCCAGGAGGACCGTGAGAGGTTACAGGCTGAGCGCCTCGAGGCCGCCGCCATGCGCAGCTCCACAGGCACCCGCCGCCAGTACGACCCCATTGACGAGGATAATGTCCCCTCGCTCAACTCGGCCGACTTTCAGCCCCTCAACAGCGCAGCCGCCCACCACGCCGGCACCACGCCCCCGGAGCCGCGCCAGGGTTTTGGCCAGCTGGCCGACCTTTCGACGAGCCCCTCGGCCGTCCGCACCGTCTGGGGCACGCCGGCCATCTCCGGCACGTCACCCGAATTCGGTCCCGTCGACGGAGCTGGTGTTGGTACCGACGACGGCTGGCTCAAAGACGACGACTTTCTCGGCGCCGCAGAGCTCCACTTCCAGATGGAGGCCTTTGGCCTTGAACCTGGCCCCAGCGGCGCTCCGGAGAGCAGTGGCGGTCCCAGCAAGGCGGGAGCGGCCGCAGGCGCAGGAGGCGGCAAGGGCAAGAAGAAGAAGCAGAAGATCACGTTAATGAGCACCGGCGGCCGGAGGGGCAATTAGACCTGTTTCCATCCCTTCCTGCTTTATTCCTGCACTTTTGCCGGGGCCACTCGGCATCTCCTCGCCCACTTTGACGTTTGTTACAACTACAGAGAACGACGACTGTCCCACGGCTGTCTCTGCACGCGGCGTCTTTTTTTTTCCCCCTTTCTGTGAAGGGCGCGTGGAAAGAGGGGCGAAGGCTTTGTTTTCGGGGAAGGAGAAAGGGGAGGTAGTGACCTGCTTTGCCCGTCTTGGTCGTTCTCTTTGACTTCGGGTTGCCCTGCGCCTTGCTTGCTTGCCACCTACTCTACCTATAGTAATGCTCATCGAAGCAGAGAAATGGAGAAACAAATATACTTGGTACCCTAAGAGAGGGGTGTCGCATGGGCTTGGGATCTGTTTTTGCCTTGATTGTCCTATACTCAAAGATGAAGCCATAAGAAAAGCAAAATCCACATGTTTACATGCATGCACTCACTTTGCTGCATGGTTGATTGATTAATGTAAAGCGGGTGCGCACCATAGACGGGCATGAAGCAACAAATGCAAGGGGCCCCCAGTTCATTCATCGGCTTTGATTCTTCTACATCTGTCTGTCTACCACCTCATCGCCTCCCCTTGCTCTAAAAAGAGGGCCGAAACATGAAACTTGAATAAAGACGATTTGGTGTTGGAATGCCACCCCCTCCATCGACGCCGTTCCATCCAGGAATGAGATTCAGAAACACGTTGGTTTAAAAGAAAAAGAAAAAGAAAAGATGAAAATAAAAGAAGTGAGTCCCGCCATGTGGCCCCCTTCCTCAAGAAACACGATGCAAATGCGTCCGACATGCGGAGTCAAACCCCCCCCTGATCCTCCCTCTGCCGCTCCCTTTCGGCTGGCTCCCGCCGCTCGATAAGTACAAGGATACAGACAGGTGCGTCCATCTCTCACGTTCGTTCCACGGTCTCCCTAGGCCCCAGATTTTTCGGTGGTGTCAAGCAATAAAATGCAGTGCGCTTTCGCCGCCGACGGATGGATCATGCTCCGCTTAGAAGTTAAAACCTCCCTCATGATGAATATGTGAGGTTGGTAAATGGGTTGTTGTTGTTGTATATACAGCCCTCCCCCTCGTCTCGATGGAGGGGGGGGACATGTCGGGTATGAAGCGAAGGTTGAATTATCGGTGTTGTCGGGTCGTCTATGAGCGCTCATCTGGGTTCTCGAACTTGATGGGATGCACCAGCATGCTGCGCAAGCACATGCGGCCGGAACTCATCGCCGAGGACTCCTCCTGGAGACCACCACGCATCGTTCCCTCACCAGCGCGATTGGTTCGGCCATCCATCTGGGCGTAGCCGAGCCAGCGGCGCCATGTAAGTCCGGCAAACTCAGAGTTGAAGTACCAGCTAGTGCCCTTGTGGTTGTGCTCGTTCTCAATATCGAAGGGGCTGCCAGGGCCACCTGACGTGCCATCGCGGCCGCCATTGAAGGCAGCCTCGATCTGATCGTACTGCCATCCACGGTCGAGGTAGACAGGGTGGGGGGCGTACGCAGCCTTGAGACCGTGGTGCAGAGCAACAGTCGGGGGGAACATTTCGGAGAACATGCTGTGGTGGTGACGCCACGTCTCCTCGTGCATAGCGAGGATAAGGCGGCGCGAAAGGCGGGAAGCGGTGACGATAGCGCATCGGCGGGGAGGAATCTGAAGGCGCGTGTTGTAGCCCGTGACATCCTTGGAGAAGACCCAGCCAGAGTCCTCGGTGTCGAAGAGGGGGTTGAGAGTGATGATGTCGGCCTCCTCGCCGACACCGCACTCTTCGGGGGCATGCTTTGTGTCATCGCAGTTGGCGGGCATCATGCTGGCGCGACGGCCAACACCAGTCTCGCCAAAGATGGTCTGGCGGCCGGCAAACTCAACCGGGCCCATGACGGGCTTACGACCAGAGGCGATCGACTCCTGCTCAACGCGGCGAGAAAAGTCTTCCCAAGAGCCGTGGAGAGCGGGGATGTAGTACTTGGCCGAGCGCTCCCACAAGAGCTGACGCGACTGCTTCTTGGCCCAGCTGCCGGCACGGTCAAACAGCTCATAGTAGGAGCCAGTGTAACGCATGTCGAGCTCCCAATTCCAGAAGTGAGCGTACTCAGGATGCTGCAGGGCGAAAATCTGCATTGGCATGTGCGCAGAACGGTAGACGCCGTGAATGTCGCGGTTCGAGGGGTTTTCGAAGGGTTCGGAAAAGGTGCCAGGATAGTAGAGACGCATCTGAGCCTCAGACCAGAGGGTGCAAATGGTGTGGAACTCGGCCGGCACGTTGGCGTCGAGGATGTCCTGGACAACGGAAGGGTCCGACCAGATGGGAGCATCGAGGTTCTTCACATGAAGGAGGAAGTGAAGGGTGTACTCGCCGCCCGACTTGAGAGCAAGCTCAGCAATCATGGCGCGGAAGTTGAGGATGACATGCTGAGTCCAACGGAAACCAACATAGGTACGGACGAGGACAGCAGTTCGCTCAAGCTTCTGAATGCCCTCGGCAGGCCCGAGGGTCGGGTCCCTGACCTCATCCGTCTCATTGACGAAACGGTGCTGGTTGCGGGCGACACAGCGCTCCTGAGCATCACCCCAGTCGACGTTGGTGTAGTCGATCTTACCAGTCTTCGACCAGACAACTTCCGAGCCGGAGCGTTCGGTGTCCAAGCCCTCGCCGGTGCCGCCCTCCTGGGCGCTGTAACCGAGACCATAGGGGCCATAGCGACCGAAGCGGTCGAAGCAGATATCATTGCGGATACCGAGGATGTTGTAGTCGCCGAGAGCCGGGTCGGGCATTGACTGAGGCAGGCCCTGGAAAGCCCAGGTGTCGGGCACAGGCGTCTTCTTCTCGTCCAAGAAGCACTCGTTGACGCGAGGGTGGGCAGCGAGGTATGCGGCCGACTCGTAATCAGGCTGAGGCCTGTACGGTTTGGGAAGAGGCGCCGTCTCGTGGGTCAGGGTGACCTCCGTGATGGGTTCCTTGTACTTGGGGTTGGGCCACTCCGCCGTGTGGTTGGACACGGGAACGAGCGACTTGAGGCCGTTGAAGTAGCCATTGAGACTGGAAATGAGGTCAGCTTCCGACTCGTGTGTGTTTGCCGACGCCGTTGCCCCGAGGCAGATAAAGGGCAGCCCGAACGACTTACTGCTTATAGCCAATCCAGACGGGGTGGTTGGTGTTCTGCTCCTCAGGGCTGTTACCGCTGAGGAACCCGTCGCCGCCTACGACCCTGCCGTTCTTAGTGTGGACGGCTGTCTTCAGCAGGACCATGGACATGATGACCAAGATGAGGACGCTCCATAGCGTCACCCGCCTGTAAAGGCAGTGTCCGAGTAACGCGCGCATTCGGAGTTTGGTCTTCTTGTGTTGGGAAGGTGGTGGGAGTTCGGACTTCTCGTGGAGGATGGTGTTGGATGTGGCAGAGTTGGATCTGGACGAACGATTGCTGAGGAAGGATGAGACTCGCTCCATTACGAAGGGGGGACGATTCCAAGCGAGAGATTATTCGGGCATCGACGTTGTTTGTGCGTGGCCTCGATGTTTGTTGGTTCGTTCAGATTGTTGTTTCGCAAGTTGCCTTGTGAGACTGGATGCGAGGGGGGAGGGCAGTAGAGGAGTGAGTTCGAGAGGTAGAAACGAGTTCTGCTCTGTTGACTAGTGAAATCTCCTCGTCGTTGTCGCGGTGGTGGCAGATAAACGAATGTGGTGCAAAGCGTGGAAGCAATGCTGCAGAAGCCAAAGACGGAATGGGCGTGAAGAATACCGTGCCAGTCAAAGCAGTCAAGCGTCGAGGGACGTGAAAAGCAATGTGAAAGGGAAGAGGCAATACGGAACCCCGTTGACCGTCGAGCAGCGCGATGGTCTGGGAGCTGAAGGGGGGTGGGACAAAATACAGGCGGAAACTCCTTAACCTAGAAGAAAGGGCGAGATTCGGGACTCGAGATGGGAGGAGGCGAGGCGAGGCAGCCCCTTATTACACGGGCCCGAATTAGACAGGCTTAGCAGGGTATGGAGTCGAAAGCCGCACGGTGCTGGGCAGGCACGTTGGTCTGACTAAGACACAGTGATTTTAACACAGTGGCTCCCGTATTACGCTTTTCTGAAGGTCTTGGGCATGGGCGTCGGTAGCGTGGGAAGGAACGATCAATGCACCCATCCACCCACCGAGTGAGCGAGACTGCCAGCCCAGGCCAGCCCACCTCCCAGCTAAGAAGATGTGCGGACCCTGTGCCCCTGCCCAGTGGTAGAAGCCCAGGTGCCAGGGGACGAGGAGAAGTAGGTAGGGGGAGAGGGGGGGAGGGCAAGGGGCACTGGCGCTAGTCCACCTGTGGGTGAGAAATCACACATCGATTGGCTGTGAACAGCAGACTTAGGGGTGGAGTGGAGCGGATAAGGCATGTCTTGGCACAAAAGCGGATAGTGGATGGCGACATGGGACGAGATCCCTTCCTCGTTCTTCGTGAGGTTCGCCAACGAGCTAGGCAGCTTTGAGGGAGAGGCAAGGCAGGTGCCGACCTTGGTAGTTACCCTCATCTCTTGGCCACCGCTGCTTGCCAACCACGGCGACTGATATCCTATTCCGACAAAGCCCTGGGTAGGCGGGCGACTAAGACTGGGCGAATCGAGTGCACTCAATGACCGGGCTGAATGCTGTGAGATGCGCTGCTGACAACCACAGGTGACTGCAAGCTTTCAGCCTGGGGATGCCCGCCCGCCCGCCCGCCAGTGGGTGAGGGTGAGTGGACTGGTCGATTGCCTGTTTGCCCGTCTGACTGACTGATTGATCTGCGCCGAATCCGTAGCTGAGCCTGACTGCTGAGCGAGTCTTTCTCAATTCTTCTGACTCCGACATGAATGGGGGAAGCGTGTCGTGCGCACAATAACAAACAACTGGCTCGAAAAGCATCCGGACCGATGCATGGCCTTGAAGATTCCATTCCTCAATACGGCCACCTAGAACTGAGGCACGTCAGTAGCGTCGACGTGCGCGGGTCCCCCAAGTACCTCCCCAAGTATCTTACCGAGCCCACCGTGTGCGCTAGTCCTTGTCCGTCCTCCGCACTGCAAAAAAAAAAACCCCCCCAGCCAAACACCAGCAACGTTTGTTGGTCCCGGCCACCCCGAACCGTCTGTCAGGTCGTATTATCGACCCAGGTTCCTACCCAGGCAGCTAGGCCATTATCTGCGCACCTGCTTGCCGCAGGCCCTTCTTCAGCTTGAGTCCGTATTGTACAGGTTTTTTCGGTGCCACGCCATTGCTAGAGAGGAACTATGCCGAGCCTTACCCACCTACGTAAAATACTTCCTGCAGACGCCGTTTCTCTGTCTGGGACGAGTGCCCCATCATTGCTCTGCCTCGTTGACCAGCCTGTTTCCTGCTTTGCTTTCTTGCTGCTCGTCGCTCACCCTCACCCACCTTGTCTGATTACGCACTCGGTACAGAGTGGGGGGGTTCGACCTGTGCGTCCCCTTTTTGCCATAACCCTGGGGAGGGGGGCTTACCGGCCAATCGCCACCCTCGCTGCCGTCTGGGTTCGCGGAAATGAAGAGCTTCAATCCGATCGACACACTGCCCCCCAAAGACTGTGTTTTATCTTCCATGGCAGGGCCCGCTTGGTCAAGCTGGTGACAGGCGATAACCCCTTATGCCGCCAGCCACCATGCCCATCTGTCGTGGATATTTTGAATTGCAATTGCGAATGCCGTCATCCGGCGATTCATGCATAGCGTCAGCCGCCAGCCGCGGGCGATTGTCCGGATTATCATCAAGGGTTGTGAGGCTACCGCTTGTGGCGCCGTTTCTTTCCTTCCCTGTCGCTGGCGCCGTCTTTAACGGGATGGTTGGGTGCCGCCTCCGATGCTGCTGATCGACTGATGCTTTTCTTCAATGGTCTCCCCGAGAAGCCAGTGGTGAGATTCCCAGGGTGACCCAAATATCGTCATCCCGGGACAGGGACTCGGGGAAGGGAATGCGAGCTACACTCTATTCTCGTCCTGCCAGTGGACGACCAAGGAGGGGGGAAGATACACCACCACATCGTATTCCAGAGCACTGTGCAGACTGTGTACTGGCCGGTACTCGTTATCTCCGTGAACGTCCAAAACGCCCAAAGAAACTCCTGCAAGAGGCCTTGACTGGTGGCCTACCACAGCCTTTCATTCTCTGTCCGAGAAAGTTGGATCATGGCTGTCGGTCCATCTCCTCGACCGACTCATCGGCCGGGATCCAACAATCCGACACATGAAGATCCGCCCGAAGATCGTCGCGCGGCATTGCCTTGTCTGGTGTCCTGGCCGTCCATCCTGCTTGCGTGCGTGCATGTCAGAAGGTGAAACTGGCCCAGGCCAAGTTGCCGTTGCGGCCTCGCCTGTTTCATGCCAATTACCAACAAGCGTTTGTGTGAATGAGGTGACGCTCGCGGTGTCAAGCAACTCCTCTTTGGTCTATCAACGGGTCGCAATTAACCTGAGCAGCATTTTGATATCCTGCTCATGTCGGCTTCGATAGCTCGCATTGCGACGCCAGGGTGAGCATGCTAGCTTGCAAGGGACACCTTGACCCCCCTTCTCCCTCCCTTCCTTTCTGCTGCACCACTCGCAATTCCACTCGCAGATACCCCCGCCGCCACCACGCAGCCAGCCTTGTAGAGGTGCAGCTCTTTGCCCGTCAGGATAGTTCAATAGCATCGGTGTTCTCTCTCTTTCTCCCAGGCTCTCTCTGTGCTCGGTCTCTCGGCACATCATCCATTTCAGGCTAGGGGCGTCCCGGTGCTCTCGTGGGGGTCATGAGAGCGTTTGGTTGACACTCGCTCAGTCAACTACAGGCGCTTCAAAATTAGCATGTACGGCTTCGCCGTGAACGTCAGCGACAAGAAAACATTCCATTCACATGCGGCCGTCGTCCACGACCGTTTCGCTTCTGAGCGCGCGTCAAGTGTCACTCAGGGCCCACGTCGATCGCCTCAAAGCCCGCGCCGGCGAGCGCCGGCAGCGGGCGAAGCTTTGGCCGCTTGGTCCGACAGTGGCGACGTATGCGTCCGTCCGTCTGGGATTTTTTTGTTTTTTTGACAGCGGACGTTCTTCTTCGACACTCGCACGTTTCTGGACGTCCTATTTTTGGTTACTCTGACCCAAGCAAACCTGGGGGAATGCTGCCAAGTCATTGAATGTCAGCTCAGAGCAGGAGACGAGCGAGCCCGAGGCAACAAAGGAACATGACGCAAGCTAGCCTCTTGAAGATGCATTGAAGATTCCATCCCGCCCATGAGGAGTCAGCAATTCCAGCATTCAACCAAGCACTCGTCTGACACGACGGTCTCAACCTACCTAACTTTAGATTAAGCCCTCAGTTGAACCCCATTCTCTACGACTGAATCAATGCACAGCGAATTCTTGTCAGCACAGCAAACCTGCTTGACTTTGGGGTTGCAACGCGGCAGACGAACAGTGAAACCGCCGCATGCAGCTGACTGAGTGAGGCGCCGCTGGAGATAGCTTGGAGGCAGTGAAGAACTTGGTTCTCGTGAATGTGGCTGTCAGCCGCATTTGAATCAAACGATGCAAGCCACATTCATCACCGCCGACAGCCGCAACCCACGCATGAGCCAAAATCACCTTGAAGTGGGGGCCAATTCGGCCTGAGGGACAGGGCAGGATACAGAAAGATGCTGACATAAGCCGCGAGAGACCTGGGCTTCTGTACCTCACATCACGTGGTGATAGTAGCTCGTTTCGCTGATAAGCGGCGGGCTTCGGTGCAAGACGCTGGGGCCCACGCTTCCCAGTTGTCACTAGCGCTCAACCCTAGCCGCCCGCCCACACAAGCCATTTTGACCAAAACTTCGAGTTTTCCATCCCCGCCTAACCACTTCATCATCACGACAATTCCGGCAATCGACACCCAACAGCCGTCAAGATGGGTACGTACGCCCATGGTCCATCGAAGAAGCCCTCAATCGCGAATCGCGCTCAGCCGACGACCTGCCCGAGACCCGAAGAGCCCGAATCAATGGTGTGGAAAGTTGACGGCCATGACATTTGGGGAAGGGGCGCGGGGAGCGGCAACGATCTGAGGGCCAAACACACCATGCAAAGCTGGGAAGAATTGGCAAGCTGACCTTCTCGACTTGCAGTGAACATTCCCAAGACGCGCATGACCTACTGCAAGGGGAAGGACTGCAAGAAGCACACCCAGCACAAGGTCACCCAGTACAAGGCCGGCAAGGTGCGATACACCCGATTCCCAGCGGACGAATTCGAACTCGACGCGGACCGTGTTGGCAGGTTGGGAACAAATATGCTAAGACGGAAATTATAGGCCTCGCTCTTCGCGCAGGGTAAGCGTCGTTACGACCGCAAGCAGTCTGGTTACGGTGGTCAGACGTACGTTCAACCCCTCCTCTTCCATGATCGAGACGAGTCTACGGTCGACACAAGGCCACGATCGCAACTCACCCGCACACGTCTGAGCCAAAGACTGACAAACTGCGCAGCAAGCCCGTCTTCCACAAGAAGGCCAAGACGACGAAGAAGGTCGTCCTGCGGTTGGAATGTGTTAAGTGCAAGACCAAGCTGCAGCTGGCGCTGAAGCGCTGCAAGCACTTCGAGCTCGGGTACGGCCACCTTCTCCCCTTTCCGCTCCGCTCCCACACTACAAACACGAGACAGCGATGCGCGAATATGGCTAACATGCTTGGGTTTACAGTGGCGACAAGAAGACGAAGGGTGCGGCTCTGGTGTTCTAAATGCATTGTGGTTGTGGTCAACCGATTTCATGGCTGCTTTCCTACACGGCACGGCAAACGGATCATTCGGGCTGGAGCTTTGGCGAAGAGGGTTACCCGGTCGAGGAGAGAACCATGCATCACTCCCATAGGGTTTAAATAAAAGCCCTTGCAATTCCGAACCAATGACGATGACGACTTCATGGAAGTTAAGAAATTTGTCCAGGATTGGTGATTCTGTGCAGTGGGGGCGTTTCACGAGATCCTGTGAAGGCTGTACAACTGCGTTGCTGTACCTGGTTCACCCATGGATCATCCATAGTCTCAAGCATAGTGAGTGCCTCCTCGGCCAGAGTTGCCAAGCCACGAATATGACGCATTCTGTCTCATGACTTTGTTTCTACCCCCGGCTGTTGGTCCACGAGGCCTGTCAGCGCTTCATGACATACCATGATCAAAGCCTGGGATATGTAGCCCTCGCAAGACTTCCAACGCTCGAGTTGCGAGATCCCCACTCATGCAGGTGGCATTTGGAGCAGCCCTGTCATTTGTCTATCCATTTGTCTAATGCAGCTTCTGATGAATATCGGCGCGGTCTGGGAACAGTCCCATCAGAAGCCCTCGCCAAGGTTGATGGTTCTTCCACCACCATACCACAGCCTACCACAGCGGGCATCGAGACCTCGCTCCTCACCAACCGACCACTCGCCTGACCACTCGCCGCTCTCGACATCCCAGACCTCATTCTCGAGCCACTGATTGATCTCGTCAATAGCCTCGACCCAACGCTTTCGCAGCTCCGGCGTGTGATGGTCCTCTTCGCCGAGATATCGACCCAGAGTGATGTGCGCGCTCGGTACCTGATAGCGAGACTCAACCTCAACGCCTGTCGACTGCGCCAGGTTGAAGACGTCGCGGCGAAGGTGGTGGTAGGTGTACTGATCGCCCTCGACAACACGCTGGTCCGCCGGGGCGGCAATCTGTGCGCGGCGCTTTTCGCCAGAGGCGGGCAGGAAAGAGACGGCAAAGGCCGAGAGGTCATATGAAATCATGGGTTTCACGAGGCGAGCACGGTGAGAGTAGGTGAAGCTTGTCATGTAGGGGATGGCGGAACGCATCGTCGTGACGAGGGACGCAATCTGCTCGGGTGTCTTGGAGTGAGCGAGCTCCAGGACCGTCATGTGCATGCGGTGTTGTGGCATGAGCCAGATGTCTGGTCTCTTGGTCAGCGCTCTCATGTCGGCTGGCTGACGCATGGCGGAGAGTGAGATGCTTGGCGAGGTGACTCACTTGGAGCGACCTTCTTCAGCAGGTTCTGGATCTGGACCGACAACCGAACAATGTTGTCAGGCGGGCGAGACCAGAATACGAGGCAGTTCCGAGGGTCTTGGAAGCCCGGTTCGATCTCGGGACGTTCCAGCCTCAGCAGGAAAGGGTCAATGACCAGCTCCTTGTATTCGCTGGAGAGAAACTTTTCCTTCTGCTGTTGGTTTCTCTTTGTTCTATGGGCCGAGTAGAGAGACTGGATCTCGGCCTGCGTGCCAGAAGCGGATCAGAATCTTGTCTCGCAGCATCCACGGGCTCCGCGAAGAGGGTATGGAAATATATCTACATGATCATCCTCACAAGCCTTGATGAGGGCCTCATAAGGGTTCTGGCCTGGCAAGATGGTGATGCCCGAGAGGTCCTCGAGTTTGTTCTTCGCGTCAGTTGACTCCAATTGAGCACCCATTTTGGTGTCTGGAGGGTGGGGGAGGTTCGTTGGTGATCTTGTGCTTGCGTGCTCGGTATATCGAAGAGCTGTGAGACGGGATACCGAGCAGTCGTATATGCTCTCTTAATATAACTCAGCAGTCTCAGACCTCTGGTCTAGATCTGTGAGCCCTGGTCTGCGTTACCAAGCAGAGGCACACAGCCACGATTCAGATGGCTCTGAGTGGATATCGACCAATCTTGCTAGTCGAGTTCGACGTCGCAACACTGAAAAGAGGCGCCTCTAAAATCACCGAGCGCAAATGGCAACCTGCATCTTGTGGTTATAATTAGCACGAACTGGGCGAGATCCGTGAGGCGACGCGTAATCACGTGACTTTTGCTCCCAATACCACATCCTGTCAGTCTGCCTTGTGATGGGAACCCACCCGCGTCTCCACCGCCCGACATGTCAGACACGCCCTTCCGCTTCTTCACCACTATTAGCTGGATTCAGTCATTTAAGCCGGAGATTGGAAGCTTGTAAGGCATACCCTGCTGCATTGCTGTTGCTGCCCACGTGCGAGGTGGTGTGGGTGTGCAGATACGGTCGGTGTCTTCAGTGATACGCTCTTGTTATCTCGTTGCCGTGACACCAAAAACACACGACAACCTCATTCGGCAGAGGCAAGGCTCGCCCGATGGTCGAATGATTTGACTGTGTTGTTTGACAGCGAGTTTCGTTCAACTTTCACCGAGGTCTCATTCTGGCTCAGTAGCCTCAGCATCGAAGCATCTGAAGACGATTCTGACGAGCAACGCTGCAGGCGTGAGACAAACCAGAAGATCTAATTCTTTTAGACAATGGTCTGATCATCTATGCTAAGCCGTTTCCTCTTTGTTTCAATTTGCAGGTAGACTGCTTGGTGGCCCCTGTATAATGCTCTGCCAGCTTGTATTGACCCCTCTTAAGTTCTGAAATGAGCTGTCTTGTCTGCTGAAGGGAATTAATGAGACAACGCTCCCTGGTGAATCACCTATCCTAGCCCTGATAGCCATCAAACTAATCGACGCTGTATACATGTTGAGAACACTAAGCCTCGAATCATCGTTCGAGGGTTCGGTGAGTGATACAGATGGAATGGGACGGGACGCTCCAACTTGCTCGGTAACGCAACGCGCCAGATCGGCACGAAATACGTGGTCGGGGCAATACGCTTCGGGTACTTCGGAGCACGACCCGTCACTATGCAGTGGAATAACAGACGCCAAGGCTAACAAACATCCTGACACGCAGCATGAACACCTGGGGACTCAACCAGGGATAGAGTCGACTCCAAGAAAACATGAGCTACGGCTGGTCACTACATTCGTTATTGCAACAGTGCACTGCGGGTGTCGAGGCACCTGTTGCTCCGTGCCAGGCAGCAGGGAACCTGGGCCGAGCCAGGGCCGGGCCGGGGTCGGGTGACCGAAAGTGGGGCCGTTATCCCGGCATCACAGGAGAACCTTGGTATCAGGATTCACGGCGGTCGCTGAAGCCGATAAACAACGACAAAGAGTGCACAGATCGCTTGAAGCCCTTTCTGTATTGCCATTCACTCCAATAGCGTTGCTTACCCTTTGCCCTCACTCTTTCCCCTGGAACCACCATCACCACCGTCGCAACCATCACCACTATGGCTCAGAAACCCCAGCAATTCGACGTTTTGGGGGAAACCAGGGCTAGAATTGATCGCCCTAGGGACTCTCTGGCTTTGGTCTTCAAAAGAGCCTTGGAACTTGGGCTGGACGACGTCTCCAAGGATGGCGGCGTTCGGTTTACGGTAGGCACGATGTGCTCTGGGACCGACGCCCCCATCCTGGCCCTCCGCGAGCTTCAAGACGCGGCCCTGGCCATGGGCTACAACCACCTCTTCGATTTTGATCATCAGTTCAGTGTCGAGATCGAAGCGTACAAGCAAGCTTTCATCGAGAGAAACTCGAAGCCGTCCGGTGAGATCTACCGCGACGTCGTCCAGGTATCTGATCCGAGCAGAAAAGACGCGTAAGCCACCGAGTTCCTCTTCTCCGCTCACAAGCCCTGTCACTGAGTATTTTTCCAATTAGAACCACTGCTCATGGCTCTTTGGCTCCTATTCCGGCAGCACCGGACCTGCTCGTGGCAGGCTCATCGTGTGTGGACTTTTCGAAACTCAACAACAAACGAGACATCTTGGCCAAGCACTCAGTCCTCAGCAGACTATACGAAGAAGCCAAGAACACCAGAAATGGCCTTGATTTTGGTACAGTAACGCCTCAAAGTCAGTCGCATGATGTGCGCATGGCCCTGCAGGATGTCCGCGATTCCTTCCATATGGAAGGCGAGTCTGTCAAAACATTCGGCTCAATCCTGCAGTTCATATACGACCAGCGACCTAAACTCATCATCCTAGAGAATGTTTCTCATGCGCCTTGGCGCGCCTTCACCCACTTCTGGCTTCCCTTGGTAGGTTACGTGGCTCTATCGATGAAAGTGGACAGCAAGAATTTCCTCGTTCCACAAACCAGAACCCGAGGCTACCTGGTTGCTGTTGATCAGTGGCACTATGGTACCGAAATGTCTACGCGCATCGCGCGACTGTGGTCGAGCATGATGGAGTCGTCCAATTGGTTTCCGAATCAGTATCCAGAAGTCCATAAATTTCTTCTATCATCGATGGACCAGCGAATCCTCGAGGCACGAGCAATCGAGGAGCGAAAGATAGCTGAGAACATGGCCAGGGATGTAGAAGCCAGGATGTGCGCTTACGATCACGCCAAGGTTCGACGACAGCAGGGACTTGGACCTGACCAACCTTTTACTCAACGGGATGGTCGGGGTAATCTCTTACCCAGAGATACGTCTTGGCAGGCGTACATCAGAGGCACATCTAGCCGTGTCCAAGATCTCCTCGACATCACGTGGCTGTCAGAGCGCAAAAAGGCAGGCAGAGATCTCAACTACAAGGCAAAATATCTTGACCTTGGTGTAGGTGTTGAGCGGCTCAAAACACAAATCGGTATTGTAGGGTGCGTCTTGCCCGACGGTGACCTTTTCGCCACAGATCAGGGGCGGCCGATATTGGGTATTGAGGCACTCTCGCTCCAAGGGCTACCTATTGATCGTATCCGCACCTCTGTCGAAACCCAGGCCGACCTCCACGATATGGCCGGAAATGCCATGACGACCACAGTCGTTGGCGCTGCCACCCTCTGCGTCCTGATAGCTGAACGCCGGGTGACTCGATCCAGTGGTTTCCACAACGGCCTGCCTCTTCTGGACAACGGTGCAAGCACCAGAACGCAGCACTTAAAGCACCTATTTGCCATTCGCCAATCCGACCGCAACGGAGTAACCGATGTAGCATTTGCCTTGCTCCAATATTGCCCCAGCTATTCAACTGCGCAGAAAGACCAGGCGGCTGTTACCCACCTCATGACGATACTTCAGAAAGGACGGAGGTATTGTCCCTGTGCAGGATATCGCAAGCATAATCCGGCGACTGGTCTCATGATCTGTACAATTTGCAACCAGGTGCGATGTGTAACCTGTGCGGGCAATCCTGCTCACGCTTTCGAAATGCTTTTTACTGGGCCTCTATGGTCCTGGGATGAGACCATCCACGCTCTGAGAGGCATTCTACCGAATCGGTTTGCTTTGACCGGAGGCCATGGCATACCTCAGGACGACAAGGATGTCAAGAGATTATGTTTGAGCCTTCACGCCACCGAGAAGGAAGAAAGAAATATCACCTCCCGACTTCGCGAATTGCGCAAATGCCTCGGGGCTGTCTACTATCTAGACCACTTCGACAACAGCCAGGTTATCGTGGCAACTTACGTCTCAACTTGCGGCCGTATCGAGCTCTCCATTGGTTCAGATCAGGTTGTTTGGTATCTGTACTTACCAGAGCCGCTTGAGCCCGGCTCATTCAAACAACGAGCTGCTCCTCCCATCGCTCGAGCCACACTCGACAAGTCGGCGGACAATGTTTTCCCAAACCGCCTGAGTTGGGAGGTTTTCTTCATCCAACCCCTTATCGTAGTGCTTTCTATGGAACCCCAATCTGACTCTACCTTCCGTTGCTCCGTCACAGAGTTCAATGGGCAGCCGATCAAGTCATATCCGATAATTCCCATGGCAGCTACAGAGCTCATGGTAGGAGTCGAAGGCCTTTACGAGTTCTCCCAAAATTGTGGCACGCCTTTTGATCTCTTGTATTCGAGAAGAGCAGCTGATGGCGAGCCTTCCTCGGCGCCCTGCTATCTCTTTCTCGACACAAAACACACTACAGAGCCTGAGGAAGATAGTTGGGTCATGTCACAGTCTGTGAGCAAGCTCGAACCGGGAACACACCGAGAAGTGCTTTGCAAGTTTCCAAGCAGCTGGAAGGAGCAGGAGCTGAAGCTACGACAATTTGGCACTCCACAGACTGTGCAGTGTGAGATTCCTGGTCTTTGGCGTAGCGTCCACCAAACCAATGGGACCCTCATGAACATCAGCATGTCCGATGTGCATCTTGCACCGGACAGAATGACAGCCGAGACTTCCGAAGACTTACACGTCATCATTCCCGGGGCCTTGAGTTTCCCGGATGTTGCGCAGGCGCCTATCCCGGTGCTTCAACTGAGAATTGACATCCCTGACCTCCCATTTCCGGTGCATTTGCTCCCGCAGCTGTGGAAAACAGATGGAGAGATCTTCAAGGAGTGTGCCAAAGAGACGGGCCCTGGCGAGAAGTGGATGCGCGTGAGCGATCACCACCACAAGGATGCGCTCTCTCTCATATCGTTTGCTCTCGGCGCACTCAAAGCTGATCACTTGCCTCGAGAATTCAAAGTCGGGCTACTCGAGCGGGCCGGAGCTGCTTGCCAGATCCTTGACGCCGATTTCCCCAACCCCAAGATACATCTGCTCTGGGAGGGGCTCAAAGTTAAAAAGCTGTTTGACGATTCAGAAGCTGCTCAAAAGCTGGCCGAGTCTTATCGTAAACGACCGCTTCCATTGGAGTTGGATGTTCAAATTGTCAGGGCCGATCAGCCTCGGCACACAGGCGACCTTTACAGCGGCCGTGCAAGGGGCAACATTGCTCAGGAAACTGAGCTTATCGTTCGTATCCTCTTCAACCCAACTGCACTAGCTCATAGGGCTTGGTTACATCTTCCTCGAGACGGATTGATCAGGGGTATCCGCCGCGATGTCATGCAGGACGGCCACATCGGTTTTGCTGTTGATGTGGAGTTCGTTGACCCTAGCCTAAAGATGATCGAGCCTTTTGAAGCTTGCTTATCCCAAGACGTCGTTCCCCCCGCAACCTGCGACATGGCTATCCAGTTACCCTCTTTTGACTCTTGTGGTGTCCAGCTGCGTCCAGACCAGATCCAGTCTGTCCAATGGATGATCGAGAAGGAGAGCAGCAACAGCTGCTTCGTCGAGACGGAGGTGGAAGAGTTCCTTGTTCCGTCGTCAAGCATTCGTCTCCGCTCCCACGCTGAAGTTGTCAACAGAGCTAGGGGAGGCGTTTTAGCTCACGACGTTGGATTCGGCAAGACCATCGTCACCCTAGCCCTCATAGACCATCAGCGCAATCAGAGCGATGAGAGGTCTACGATTGAGCGGCATGCATGGACACAAGAGAGACACTGCCATCTGAAGGCCACTTTAATTGTCTGTCCCCCCCAGATTGTCGACCAGTGGCGCGATGAGATAGAAAGGTTTCTTGGTTCCGAGAACTGGAACGTCGTCGTCATCAACGCGAAGACGCCTTTTCATCGCGGTATGCTCGAGACGGCGGACTTAGTCATTCTGAGCACCGCCTTCATTCACTCCTCCGCTTTTGTTCAAACCCTCACCAGAGTGGCCGGGGCTGCCAAATTCCACGATGCCAGTGGAGCTTCGTCGAGAGAATTCAACATTTGGTATCGCGAGGCTGTCACCGACCTGGAGGACTCATACCAGTGCTACGCTGACAACAACAAAAACAACGGCGCTCTCGCGAAACATATCTCGCTTCGAACTCAGGAACGAAAGGTCAGCTTTGAGAAGGCTCGAGCCGCCTGTATCGTCGAGTCTCGCCGTAAGGATCAGAAGGTCAAGGCGACAGCCCGCACACAGCGGGCGACGAAAACGCGCAAGAAACCAAGGCGGACTACCACCGCCGCTTCTGAATCTGATCACTCTGCTGAGTCCGACTCAGACTCTGCCATGGACGACCGAAAGCGCAAGGTGGCTACCCCTCACGTTGTTAACGACTTCAAGGATGCCACAGTCCTGCAGATGTACTCGTTCGACCGCGTGGTGCTCGACGAGTTCTCGTACGAGAACAAAAGTACCGCGGCTTTCGTGGCCAATTGTGTGGCATCCTCCAAATGGATACTTTCCGGCACACCGCCCATGGCAGACCTGAGCCAGGTGTGCGCCATCGCCGACCTCGTCAACATCCACGTCGCTCGACCTGAGGCGTCGGTGCCAAAATCTTTCCCAAGCATCACAAGAGGCCCAAGACTCGACAAGACCACAAGAGGCGAGGCGATGCGCCAGTACGCTGACCCCAAGTCGGCCCAGTTTGCGCTCGAGCGTCACGAACAGGCCCGCATCTTTATTGAGCACAAGATGACCCGACGCGAGACCGACATTTCCCACATTAGGGTTACCGAGCAGGTCATTGTTTGCAGGCTCGACCCTGTCAGCTCCGTTGTATACGCCCAGCTGCAGCAGGTTCTATACGATGCGCGTTGGGACATTGAAGAGGTGCCCGGAGACATGCGCGCCATCATCGACTGGCTGCTGCAACAGACCGGAAACAACAAGGCGTCGAAGGCGCGAGAGAACCTGCGCATGTCGTGGCATAACACGATCCAGTCGCTTTTGGTGCAGTCGTCGACTAATCTGTCGGCCTACGGCGAAAACATGAAGAAGCTCGGCATGGATGTTAGGGCAGGCGCCGTTTCTGGCATCACCGTGCTGACCAGCATGCGGACAATCTACCAAAGGCTCCAGGCCCGTTCCAAGGCCATGATCAAGAGCCAGTTCGACATGCTGATGTATGTCGTCGATCAAGTGCAGATGAGCGGCCTTCTCGCAATGACCAACGCCAAGGGCAGAGACAAGACCAAGCAGGACAAGGCCATCTACTACCAAGACCACCTTGACGACTTTATCCAAAGGTTCACTGCTGATAGACCTTGGAGCTTTGGAGACGCCGAGATCAGAGACGACTTGTATCGCGCCATTGCACCTCGCACATAGCATCACGAGGGCCGCGGCGCGACACAGAGCGCTGGTATCTGGCAACCCGGCGAATGGGCCAGCTGGAAGGGCGGAAACGGTGTGTACGGTGCTATCGAGTGGTGGAAGCTGACGGAGGAGGACGTCGAAGCTATGGATGAAGATGAGCTCAAACACGTGGAAGCCAATCTCGTTTGCTTCAAAGCAAGCTACAATTCCGAAACTCAGATTGAAGCCACAAGCCAGCAGCTCAAGGAGTCGGTCTGTGACCTGCTGAAAGCCAACGTGCTGGACCAGTATCACGAAGCAGAGCCTGAGAAGGTGGCTGCCAATATCGGGCTGGCTTCTGCCACACTCCTCGATGCCTACTGGAAGGACACAGCAAAGTCCAAAGACTTTGAGTTTGGCAACAAATTCCGGCCCTACCGCCCTCAGTTGAACGAGGAAGAGACTGATCGCGGTACCAGTCACGATCAAGCCACGAACCGTATGGCCATGGCTCTTCAAAGCGTACAGGCAGGCATAGAGGAGTACATCCGCCAGGCTCGCCGGCTCCGTGTGCTCGGCATTGTGCAATCCTTATTCGCGTTTGCCCAGGATTTGGAGGCCGGTCATAAGCCAAATGCTCCAACTTGTAGTGTTTGCGGCTCGCAGGACAACACTGAGATAAAGGACCTCAGCCTCTTCATCACCTGTGGCCACCTACTGTGCTCAGGATGCGTCACAGCACATGAGAATCAGCATCATCAGGTCGAGAGCACTGCGGGCGAGGTTCTATGCCCTGTCGACTCGTGCTCTGCGATGGCTCGCTCTGCCCTCGTCCCCTGCACGCAGCTCATTTCTGCCACGGCAGCCTCAACTCTCGATTTTGAGGGCAAGAGCGCCAAGGTCATGAAGATTCTGGACGTCATACGCACCGACGTCAAGGACGATGAGAAGGCTCTCCTGTTCGTCGGCAACAAGAAGCTCAAGGCCCAGCTCTTCGACGCGCTCGCGGAGGACGACAACGTCGATGTGTACATGACCACCGGCACACACCACGATACTGACGCCATCCGATACTTCAAAGAGCCCAATGAAAACGGCAAAACCAAGGTCCTCGTCCAGAGCCTCATGTCCGAGGAGTCCGCCGGCACGAACCTCACCGAGGCCAACCACATCATGTTTGCTGCGCCCCTGCACACCGACAGACGCAACCACTACATGTACATGCGACAGGCCCGGGGCCGCGCCATCCGCTTCGGCCAGACCCGGCCGGTGAAGGTCTACCACTTCGTCACGGCGCACACGATGGAGGTTGACGTCCTGGAGCACCGACTCAGACACAAGCTGCTCATCCCCGAGGGCGGCGACCGCATGCCCCTCGACGACCTCGACTACAAGCTCTACGCTCTAGACACCCGAGCTGCTTCCAGAGGCCCGCCGAGTGCCACCAAAGAAGCCTCTGCTGCTACTACGGTCTCACCCGCGTTGAGAAGAATCCGACCTTACATTGACGAAGTGGAAACCAGGAAGCTTCTCGACTCGCAGGAGTATGATGAGTGGCAGGATAGGCTTGATGTGCCGCCCTCAGAAGCTACCAAACAGGCACCTTGGTTCCGGAGCCAGGTTGTCGAGCAGTCTGCTCATGAGAAGGTGTATGATGACGATGTCGAGGTCGGAAATTGAGATGTGCAACATCAAGCGCGTGGAAGCAATCCCACGCTGGGTGCGAGGCTTGGCATTTCACTTTGGTATTATTTGAGTAACAAGTCCTGGAATGGATCAGGGGGGGGGGGGCATACAATTGTTTGCAACTGTTTGAATGGATGTAGTCACGCGTCGCCGATAGCTTCTCCGTCTCCAAGACAGACCTGGTAGTGTACAATTATCATATCCTCATGCGAGCCGCGACGACTGCCGTGCTGTGCAAAATGAATGCTCTATATCACGATGACACGTCGCCGTGGCCAGTCGAAGACCCCTTCCAATATTCTGCCTTGCCGACGTTGGTGTGTATCGCCAACGTGTTGGCCGCCGGCTTGCTTTTGTCTCCTTCAATCTTGATCCTCGCGACCTTCACGACGCCACCGCCAGGGGCAGATATCAGCACAGAACCACTGCCGTCATCAGCCTCGAGGTAGGACACCTCCACTGCCTCCGGTGAAATGGGACCGCCAGGAACGCCTGCGTCCGTGCCCGTCTCGAACGCGACAAACGCACCCGCCTGGCCCTTCATCGCCTCGTCTCTCCCGGTCGACGGCGCAACCGCCTCGAGACCCTCGAAAATAACCCTCTTCCTGCCCCGGCGCGTCTGCAGCTCACTCCACAGCGGGCCCAGAACGGTCTCCCGCCTCGCAAAGTCGTCGGCCGCCCACGCGCGCCACCGGACCTGCCTGTCCTGCTTTGTGAGTTTCGGCGCGTGGCGCAGCGTGGCGAGGTCCCGCCGCGGGGGCGTCCAGCCGACGGGCTTCAGCGGCGGCACGTGGACGCCGTTGCGCAGGCCCTGGACGAGCATCTCGGCGGCTGGCGGCGTGACGATGTCGTGGAGGGCCTGCAAGTTCGTGCCAGGCGGGACAGGGATGCCTGGGAGGGGCGTCTGGGACAGGATGGTGCCGTGGTCAAACTTGGACTCGTGCAAGGTCTGGAGGGTGATGCCGGTGAAGGGGCGGTTCAGCAGAAGCGTATGATGGAGAGGCGCGGGCCCGCGAAGGCTGGCAAACGTGGTCAGCAAGATGAAGGACAGAATAGAGGAAAGGAGGGGTCAATACTCTGGGAGGAGAGATGGGTGAAGATTAAGGCCACCATATTGTGCGCTTCTGAGCAACCTGGGCGGGACCAGCAGGCCAAACGACACGGCGACGATGAGGTTCATGTTGAAGGATGGCTAGAGATGTGAGCCGAGGGCGAAGTACCTAGATATACCTCAGGCGTAGGCCACTCACCGTCCATCCTGTAAATGTGTTGATCTCATGGATCGGCAAGCCCAGTTCTTGAGCTGTAGACTTGATCGGAACTGCGACGCATGGCATCGTAAGTAAGTCTCGCTTGCAGTGTTTGTGATCAGACGAGCTCACCCTGCCGAACCGTCTTCAGACCCCGACCGGTGGGCTTCCCAGGCCTTATGACGACATCAAGCGATTCGATCAGAGACGGGTTTCGTAGATGCTCGTGATGCAGCGCCCTCAGCGCCGCAATGCTGAACTCGTCTGAGCCGCAGAAGAGGATTCGCAAGGGGTCGGAGGCACGCAGAAACGGAGACGATGTGGAGAACGCGGATCTGAAGTGAACATTACACACGGGCCGCAAAGACCTTGATCTTGAAAGACCCCAAGGTGACATTTTAGCGCGTTGCTACATTTGGATCTAGTTGCACGTTGCTGAAGAAGTTGATCATTGCTGCGACGGACGTGTTTAGCCCCGAGTTGGCCTGGTATTGGATAGTTCCATGAGACCACCCCTTTATATGCATACGAAAACATGCAAGACGAGGTTGCCGTGGTCTGCTGTGAGACGTTCACAATCTGATTGATATAGATATATGTATATCTATATATATACCTTGGTTGAATCGACGCCAGATTTTCTCCATCTTCGTATATAAACCATGCCCCGTAGATATGCTCCTCGCGAAAGTGGTCGGGTATTGCACACACTGGTCGCCCCGAACGCCGCCCCTGAACTCCTGTGCAAATGACGAACCCCCCGCTGCTCCTTGACCCATGCATGTGCGCCTCAAATAAGTTCGCCATCCCCTTCCTCCAGGGATTCTTCCTCCTCCCACTCCACCTCAGCGGATAACAACTCTGCCTGCCTCTGGACCTCGGCCAGACCTGACAGCTCGGCAACGTAGTCCTTCTCCAGCAACGCACGCTTCACAAACTCCCACCCATCAGCCCGGAACGCGTCGAGCACTGGTGGGCCACAGGCACTGCAACATGGATACGACTCGCCTCGGATGACGAGGTTCTCGAATGTACTAACGAAGCCCCGGATCTGGTGCGGCACAAGACCGAGGGCGTGGTCTGGAGGGTCGCGCGGGGTGTGAGCGCCAGCCGAGATCTGAGGAGCTGCAGCATGGTGCTTCAGAGGATGCTGTAACAGACTCGCTAGAAGCTCCACGAGTTGAGCCGACGCGATGGCGGCCACGCCCGGTCGTGTTACCGTGCACTGCTGGTCGAGGGTCAGGTTCTTCTGCGACTAAGAGCGAGGTTAGCACGAGATCGTGGTGTCCAGAATCGGCTCTGCTTACATCAACAGGAGCTACAACATCATTGCAGAAATAGCAACCCAGAGTCTTTCGCTCCTTGTCGCAGGGATCCACGTCCTTGGGCTCTGCGCCATGCCGCATAACGACGAAACTGTCGAAACCCAGTGCTGCATTCATGACAATCTTGCCTGCGGCCTTACCCATGACGCTGGGAAGCCACCGGGACTCTCGGCTGTCCATCAATAGGAATATAGCGTCGTGGTCGTCGATGAGCTGCTGGAGCTTGTCAAAGTCTGCCTTGACCTTTGCCTCGTCCGTGAAAGGATGGCCGAGCATCGGGACCGAAAGCGTGTGGCCTTCGCTTTCGACCCCAGGATAGATCCTCTTGAGCGCCTCAGCAGCTTGTGGCGCCTTGGCCTTGCCACCACCGAGGCAGTCATCAAACTCAAACAGCGGCTGGCGGACTGGGTTGGAGAAGGACACACGGCCGTAGTCCACAAAGGTAATCTTTCGCACACCCCAACCGAGGAGGTTCCTCGACACGTAGCTACCCAAGGTGCCGGCGCCGAGAAGCAGGCATTTCGTCCTGCTGACGGCATCCAGGTCCAGATTGGGTGAGATGCGCCACTTCATAAGCTTGAGGTTGAGATCCACCGACTGATCCGCCAACCGCGCGGGGTCCATGTAGTCGGCGAGGTTGGCCACGCGCGCGCGCAACTTGGCCTCGCTGTCCCGTTCCCAGCCCGTAACTTTGGGGACTTTGCTGACATCGAGTGGCTCGGTGGCTTCCGTCTCGAGCGGAATGATGATGCTCCTAGCAGCATACCTGTTGCTCCTCAGTTCGCGGTAGCAAAGGATGTTGACTTTGGAGAGCCGGAAGCGTTGCCGAATGAGCCAGAGCAGATTCCGCAGCGGCCAGGAGGGGTTCTCCGCGTAGGTGGAAGAGTCGACAAAGGAGACGTAGCAGTCCTCGGGCGGAATATCGTTGAAGAAGCCCGTCTCGAAATCCGACAGCTTGCCGATCTCCCAAAGGTAGCCCTTTTCATTATTCAAGTCGTGCAGCTCCGAATTTCCATCCTCGCTGAAGTTGCTGAGATCGACATTCCTGACCTTCTTGGCAAGGAAGAAGCCGTTCTGGCGACTGTTTGTTCGTTGCGACGTCCATGTGCCCACTCGATCGACGAGCACTACACTCTCCTTCGGCGTGAGGCGGACGACGGGCCCGGACTTCTTCCACTGAGGGTCGGAATGCAGCGCAGGAAAGGCGAACCAGTAGGTGAAGCGATACTTCTTAAGATCGGCGTAGGAAAGGATCATGAAAGAGGAGAGGAGAGAGGGGACTTCGTAGATGGAGCCGTCGTTGATGGCGTGCCAAATCTGCGTTGGTCGGTCAAAGTCGGCCTTGAAGAATGGGGGATCGCAGCTCTCACATGTTTGGCAGTCAGCTGAAGCATGGCCTGCTTGTCGGCGTTCTTGAATTCGTCCAGCGTGTTGAAGTTCTTTATGGACCCCTCGGCACGGATGTGTTCTCTTGCGGCTCGTACTTCATTGTCATTCCTGCACAAGTCAGCTCCAGAAACAGACGTCGGACATGTCTTCAGCGGGGGCAGGGGATCAGCCCTACTCGTCTCTCGTGAGCGCATCACCCATAATTTGCATCTTGCAGCTCTGTTCGGCGGCGACACTCAGCGGGGTGTATTGGCCGATGACCTTTCGGACCGAGTCGTCGAGTTTATCATGGTCGACCTTGGAAGCAAAGAGGGCCGCATAGAAGGGCAGCTCAATGTCGGAGGAGAAGGGCGCAAATTGGAGCGTCATGTTGGGCTTTCGGTCGGTGCTTTGGGCACGCCGAGGAGCGTAGGTAGCTAGGGTTCGAAGAGTCGAGGAGATGGGATGTGGGGGGACAGGACAAGAAGAGACGCGGGGCAGCGGGGGGTGGTCCTTGATGTATTGCCTGAACAGCGAGCGTCTCTCTGGTCTGCTTCTTGACGCTACCTTGCTCGCGTCACGCGGACCTTACTGAGTGTCTGGCGCGATGCTGGGGCTGAGGCTGTCTTGAGGTTGGACAGATGCTGCCTTGTCGCTTGTCGAGCGGCCAGGGCAAGTGGGAGGTGCGGGAGGCAGAGGAAGGTGGGGGAAGCTCCACGAGTCCACGGGGTTGTGTCATCGGACGCAGGGTCTAGGACAGGTCATACGGCGCTCCATTGTCACATGCGAGAGCGGGAGCTGGCTGGACCTGCTTACGTACATATCCCCTTTACGCGTCGACGCGTCTCACCTCGAGGCTGCTTTATCGTGAGGTTCCGTCGCAGACGACAGCCCATCTCTATAACGGAGTTTACGACCACAGCCATCTCTCTCTCTCTCTCTCTCTCTCTCTCTCTCTCTCTCTCTCTAGCCAGACATGCTCATCGGAATTTGTGGAGGTATCGTGTACATCCACATCCTCATCACGCACGCCACCTGGCTAACCACACCACACTCACCCCAGGCATCTGCGCCGGCAAGAAGACAGTGGCCCAGTATCTTGTCGACCACCATGGCTTCAAGCACCTCCATCTCGAGCCACCGTCGTCTGCACCTTCGATAGTCGGCCAGGACGCCTCATCCAATGGCTCCGAAGTCAACTTCCCCGACCAGCTGGGACAGCTCACCCCTGCGCACGCAGACCGCCGCACGACGCCTGCCGAGCACATCTTCGCCACGGCCCAGGCTCTCCTCGACTACGTGACCTCCCGCTGGCAGGACCGCTGGGTCCTCACCCACGTCCACAGCGAGGCCGTGCTCGACCTCCTCTCCCGGCGTCCCTTCTTCCTGCTCATCAGCGTCGACGCGCCCCTGACGCTGCGCTGGCGCCGCTTCCAGTCCCTGCCGCCCGCCTCGCACCCCCTCGCCCGCGCGCTGCCGGACCTCGAGGCCTTTGTCACGCACTCGGACGCCCGCCTCTACGACCCGCACACGGGCCTGCAGCCCCTCATAGCGCGCGCGACCGTGCGGCTGCTCAACACGTCGCCCTCGCTGCCGCACCTCTACGCGACGCTCGCCAAGCTCGACCTGCCGAACCCCGCCCGCCTGCGGCCCTCGTGGGACGCCTACTTCATGTCGCTCGCGACCCTCGCCTCGCTGCGCTCCAACTGCATGAAGCGCCGCGTCGGCGCCGTCCTCGTCTCGGGCGCCGAGAAGCGCGTCCTCAGCACCGGCTACAACGGCACCCCGCGCGGCCTCCGCAACTGCGCCCAGGGCGGCTGTCCCCGCTGCAACGAGGGCGGCGCCGGCTCTGGCGCCGGCCTCGCCACCTGCCTCTGCATCCACGCCGAGGAGAACGCCCTGCTCGAGGCCGGCCGCGAGCGCATCCGCGACGGCGCCGTTCTCTACTGCGACACGTGCCCCTGCCTCACCTGCAGCATCAAGGTGTGCCAAGTCGGCATTCGGGAGGTCGTCTACGCCCAGGGCTACAGCATGGACATTGAGACGGCGGCCGTGTTCCGCGAGGCGGGCGTCAAGCTGAGGCAGTTTGTGCCGGTGAGCTCCTCTCCCTTCCTCTTTCTTGTTTTAGTCTCCGAGACGATGAGCTGACAACGTTTGCGTAGCCGCCAAATGGACTCATCCAGCTAGAAAACGTCGACAAGTTAGACCTTTACTGAGCCTTGTCTCTTCTCCAAACAATAGTAAAAATCAATGCCCATGCAGGGAAGCACTCTGGCATACCATGACATATCATGGACTCTGACATGCTCAACTTGAATTGTATTGACGTGAAAGGACCCCGAGTCTATGCCCCTGGACCACCTCCAGCTGCCGGCGGCCCGGTCCATCCATTTTCTCGTAGACACTATCACACCATCGGAGGAAGGACCGCCAGGTTCGGTGGCAGATGCGTTCGCGTATGCAGATGCAGATGCCCTTTCCACGGGCAGGAAAAAAACAACTGGAACAGAGAGGTATTTGTAAACATGAGTGATGGTTTTCACTCGTTAAAAAGCAGCTTGAAAACCCAAAGAGAACGCCACGCCGACAGGTGCTACTATACAGCACCAGGTTGCCCTCCACCAAGCTCATCGCCCTCCCGGGCTGGTATGCACGCCATCGTCCACCCCCGCTGCTAACGTTACCTTAATGTCTGTCTCTAGCGTGCCCACCACCGCCTGCCCTCCTCCTTATCGGGGATGGGGTGGCTGTACATCTGAATTTGATCAAAAGAAAAGCAAACGCAAAGCCATATCGATGATCCGTCTCGGTCGTGCTACCGAGTCGCGATCTCACCGATGGAGTTGATGCTCAGAGCCAGAAGTAGTGAAGCAGAATATTGTCGTAGATCATGAGTCTTCTCCAACATGGCCCCATAATGCGTTAGCCATACGCGAGCTCAAAGTGCGTCTCGAAACCTGGTTGTGTCTGCTTGACCTCCTTGACGGGATGAATCATCATCGGCGGCAGACACGGGCGACCATGCTTCTCTTCCCATGCCTTTCCGCCAACGTGGGTATCCTCGTAGCCCATCCAATTGTTGTACATTCGCGCGGGCGGGTCAGCGCGGTAGTACCAAGTCGAGCCTTGGTAGCGGCGCTCCCGTCCCCATCCCATGGGGCTGCCTTCGCCACCAGTCGCGCCTCGGGGGCCTGGGTTGAACCACTTTGCCAGGAATGTACCGTTCCAGGGGCGGTCGAACCAAACAGGGTGAGGGGCGAAGACGGTCTTCAGGCCGTGAAGTAGGGCTACGGTTTGAGGGGTCATCTCCGAGGCGATATGGTTTCCACGGAGATTCTCGACGTGCATGATGTTCAGTAGGCGCCTTGACACACGCGATTGGGTGACGATGGTGGTGCGACGAGGAAGATCCAGTTTATCATGATTGGCGTCACTGTAGCCCCAGACGTGATCACGGATGATCCAGTTGCTGCCAACAGGATTGAAGATGGGACCGAGCGTGATCAGATCCGACTCTTCGCCAACACCCCACTGATAAGGATCCTGCTCCGGGCTGCTGACAGGAGGCTTGGGCCCAATGGGCTTGATGAATGGCAGTTGCGGGGGACCCCAGACTTGGTCGCCGGCTGTACGAGCCTCGACATCGTTGCGGAAGTCGTGATCATAATCGCCGTGGTAGGATGGGATGTAATACCGCTCGTTACGTTCCCAGAGGCCTCGACGGGGTTGCTTCTTGGCGAAAGATTGAAGCTTTTGTAGGAAGTCGTAGTGATGGCCGGTAAACCTGGCATCCATCTCCCAATTCCAGATGTAGTCGTACTCGGGGTGCTCCAGACTGAACTTCTGCACGGACAACCATTGCGCCGAGTGCACGCTCCGCTCATTGTCCTCAGTCATGGCCGTATAGATATCCCAGACGGACCGGTCGTTCCAGAGAATAGTCATGCCATGGAACTCCTTAGGGACGTTTTGGTCAAGGACGTATTTGTACGTCAGATCATCGCCGAAGATGTCGAGGCCAGAGTCGCGCACGTGAAGCAGTAGGTACACCTGATATTCTCCTCCGGTACGCAAATTGAGCTCGGAGATCAAGGCCCTCATGACTTGCTTGTCATTCTCAGTGTACTTCTTGCCAGTGTACGAGCGGAGCAGCACGGCGGTCCTCTGCTCGACCTTGGGCTCCGGCTCGGAATCCGTGGTGGTGCCCCGATTGTCGTGCACAGAGGCCTGCTCTGAAGCTCGGGCCTCTTTGCGCTGCTCCTCATCAATGGGATGCTCACTTCGCACTTCTTGCTTGCTGACACCCTGCGGCGGGGGATACTCGGCTGCACCAAAGAGTTCGGGATAAACGGTACGAACATAAGGGTTCGGGGTGCCGGTGAGGTCATAGCGCTCCTTGTTCAGGGAGACGCACTTCTCCTGCAGATCGCCCCAGTTGACGAGGTCCCAGTTGATGGGGTCTCCGTCCTTCAAGACGGTCGAATATCCGTAAGGGCCGAGTCGGGTCTCGCGCTCGAAGCAGAGATTGCCGTCCATGTTAAGGAGGTCGTAGCTGCCAAAGCTCTCGGGCGGGAAATCATGAGGATGGCCCTTGAAGACGATCATGTCCTCGACGGTCTTGCCGTTGGCACCCTGGCAAGCGATGTACGGCCCGCGGTGCTTCCTCCTCCAATCACTGCTGTGGTAGGCAGGATACGGGTTGTAGACATAGGGCTTGTCCATTGCGAAGCCTAGGGGTTTCTTCGGAGCCTCGGTCAAGACGGCGTCATGCTCGGGAGATCGGATGTCCTTGCTGATGAGGGTAGCCAGAGTGTTGCCGTAGATGGCATCATTGCCCGGCAGACTGAAAATGTCAAAGGTGTCAGCATGCTGCGTCTCAAAGTACCTGCTTGCTGTTGCTCACCTCTTGGCCGCCTGGTATTCGTCGGCGAACTCGTCGCGCAACGCCTGCTCGTGCGTCTCCCTGATTCGTTTTTCCTCCTCCGTCTCCGCCTTGAGGCCTTCGGCAGAGCGTGACCTCCAAGGTATGACGTGGTAGCCGCGGCCATGTGAGGTGAAGTTGATGAGATAGACGGTGATCAGGATGAGGCCTACGACGAGCAGCAACTTAGGGCGTGGTCGAGGCGACAAGACGCCTCTAGCTGTTGGTGGCCTCAGTATGTCGAAGAGTTTCTTCGCCATCTTGGCGAGGTAAGAGGGAGAGGAGGATGAATCAAAGGTGGAAGATTAAATAAATGCGCAGGCGGATCCTCGCGCAGCTGAAAAGCGAAGCAGGGTTTGGTCGTGGAGGTGCGTCGGGGTTAGGACGAGATCATGTTGCAACAGCGTCGCTCAAGGAATGACGGGAAGAGGAGGATGCGGTCGTGAAGGGGCTGCAACGTCGTTAGGCCGAATCTGAGAGGCTTCTACCCTGGTGATCGAGAGGGCAATGGCAATCCGTCGTCGCAGTGATCCTAGGTGAAGGAGTGGCCGACTCGTGAAAAAGTCTCGTGCACGCGGTTGGTCGGATAGGAGGATGCTCAGGCTCCGAGATAATCAAGAGCTCAGCGAAACCGAAGTTCTCAATGGGAGACAAGGTAAAACGTATTCGTTGCCAGTGAAACACTGACAAGCGGTGGAGGGATGCGGTCGCAGCAATGCTCAAAAGGAGAAACACGAGACCAGACAGAGCGAGCGAGCGAGGGACGTGGATGAGGGCCGGAACAAATGTCGGGTCGTGTCGAGTCGGGAGATAGGCTGGAAGGGATCTGGAATGGAAGGAAAGCCTTAGTTAGGATGATGGTCTGGGCAGGAAAGGGACACGCTGCCAGGGCGCTAGAGGAGAAAGGGGGGGGGGCTAGCTAAGGGGCACAAAACCGGGGAGCACCACATGCCTCTGCACTGTCTGGCGTACTGTATTTGACGATTGTCTAGCGCCTTCAAAGGTCGCTGGAAGCTGCCGCACATGCTCTTCTCAGCAGAAGCCCGTGTGTCACAAGCACTGTGAGCACGACCAGTGCCCCCCCCCCCCCCCCCCACAAGATGCGACTGATCGCGACGTCGGCCTCAAATGGAAGTGGTGATACAGGCCGCATTGTGGCGCAGGCGATGACGATGAATTTAACTGACAAAACCAAACCCCATTATTATCAGCCTGTTCAGGTACTTTGATGCAAGGCAAGACGCGAAAGATGCCATGCTTTCAGTCCAGAGGGGGGGGAATGCCAAGAAGGGAGGCGCAACCAGCATACTTATGGGCCGCCGCCAATCTCATGTTCTTCGTGATGCAACGATGTTACCATGTACATACATTTGCTCCATTTTGACTTCACCGGACTCAAGGTGCCCTGCATCGGGGCCTACTTTCTCCAAACCCGATCCGACGGCGCCGTAGTTTGTGCCAAATTCTCGTCAACCATCACACTCTTGTTGACATAAGCGATGTTTGTCATTGAGAGGACTATGACATGGCAACCCGACATCAGGTTTCCAAAGACTGATCAGGTTAGTGGTCTCTGGTAAGCTTCTCGAGTCTGGCGCATGAAGCGGACGAAGCCTGCTCCAGAATGGCTTCAGCATGGTCAATGACTCGTTCATCTAATCCACCGTCGAGGACGATGAGGACAAATCGTCTCGGGGTGTTAAGCTGCTGGACTGGTGATGGATCGAGATCGCGGCACGGCTCATGACTCGCAGGGTGATCCCCCGCTCTGGTGTTCTGGTAGAGAACACGTCCCTGACCGATGTAGCTCAAGATGCGAAAGGAAGACGCGCAAAGACAACACCCTAGCACATCGAGACACCTGCTGTCTAGATGTATCGTCAGCGGCGCATTCAGCTGACGATAATTTTCTACCTATCTGCTTCGTACTTGACGCACAGCTAAGGTATCAGATGTGCTGGGCCTCACGCGTCCCATCAGACAAGACCTCCCTCAAACTCACCATAAACTTGTCTGAATTCCTCGATAGTGTTGCCTAGGGAGTTCGTAAGGAGACGCATTGCCCAGAAGATGCCCATCCCTCGTCTTGCTGCGCATCTCAAGGGGGTTGCACGGCTCTGGGCTGCCATCCCTCTGAGGCTCCCTGTGATCCTAGAAACAGCGTTCATTCGCACGGGCCGACGCGTCTTGCCAAGGACAAAAGCAAGCGAGGCCACCCCACTGCCACCGCTACTTCACAGGGGAGACGGAACATGTTACCGTGCTAGCCTCCTCCATCTCTGGAATGCTAGTTGT